TTGATCCCTGAAGGGAGATTCAATCATCTGACACGACAGGGTGACAAACTTTGTAAACAATTTCCTTTTGTCAAACTTCATAAATTGAAACCAAAATATTTCCAGATACCTGAAGTCGTCCTTCCTTTCTTCTCAACCAAACGCCGCCTCTCTGTCATGTTTTTAATCGCTCACTCCTCATATTATTGATCCACACGTCACACACTTGCTGCAGCTGCACGTTAACAGGAGCGATCAAAGTGTTTATCCAGCACAGCTTTAATCGTACTCCTTCAATTATAATGAGTTTTTTAATCGTGAGAAACCAAAATTAAAATCCTGATTAAAATTCGATCGATCGTCCTGCACGACTCCTCATACTGACATCCATGAAAACTCTGACTGTTGGTGTTACCTTTTACACGGCTACACAGCTGAGACGAGAACGTTCTGCCTTCATGAAAGGTCTTTAGAGGAGCTCCAGTTTTTCTAAAATTCAGAGTCCCAAAAATCTGTTTTCTGCTTCTTTTATTTATCTGGAAACAATTATGAGAAACTTTTGGTGCCAAACTGAATCATGAAAATGAAGAGCAGAGGAAAAAGATCATCGTAGTCCTGAGGAGGAGGGTGACGTCAGGTTCAGGTTCAGGTTCAGGTTCAGGTCCCTGTCAAGTCCTCCTGCAGCTTCATGGATGTGAACATGTGCTCTTCAATACTGTGAGTGAATATAGAAATCACTAAAACTCTCTTTGTTAAAATGACATCTTAATGATCCACAGATGGACAGAATAGATCTCTGATTGTATTACGGTGAATCACATGATCTACCTCTCTGGTTTCCTCTCCAATGGAGGGTCCATGATCTTCTGTGTGAAAATGAAAAGCAGAACTCCTCCAACAATAACCACATGGTCCGGTTCCTCTTCACAGCAGGAGATCCAAACATGATCCGAAGTTCTTAAACCTTCTCTGACTCCTGCAGACCTCAGATGTTCTCCTCAGATCTTTGTCTGCTGGTCTTTGTGTCTCAGTGGTCAGTGGAGAGCAGGAGCAGTGAGGAGATGAACAGGAGATCCACAGTCTCAGTTTGCAGCAGTGAAGGTGATGAGCTCCAGAACTGCTACGGACCCATGAGCCCCACCTTTAAGGTAACATATCAACCTTCAACTTTCAACAGTCAAATAAGTTTTTTATTTTTGACGCTTTTTCCCCAAAATTAAAACAAGAGTTGAGCTAAAGTTTTGAAATCTGGTCAAATTTTTCACTCTCCTGCAGATTTTCCGGATGTTCTTCACGTTTTCTGCCTTTGGTTATTCAGATGTAGTTGCAGAATGAGCAGAAAAAAAACTTTTTCTTGTGTCTCTAGTTCCTCGATAACAAAGCTGGATCTGAAGGAATCATGTTGACCCCTGCAGAACTAAAGTCACTCAGCTGTTTTTCATGAGTAGTCGTGCAGATTGTGACCAAGCTCGCAGAGTTGTGCTTTAAAGCGTTTTTCTCCGATGTTTCGTCATGCATACCTCCTTAAATTCATTTATTTTCTTTCATGCGACCTCTGCTAGAAACTTCTCATCCAGTTTTATCCGGTAAGTTCTGAGCACGCTCACGATCAGCTGACTGTCAAACTGCATGTGACGGTTTCACTCACGGTGTCTCTTTTTCAGGACGAGGCGAACAGCAGAACCTCCACAGACAGTAAAGTAAGTCCTTCTTCAAACTGATCGATCACTCTGCAGGTTTGTTTAAATCACACCGTCAGTTTTTCCAAACCTCCTAAAACGAGGAGACACAGAGCAGCTCTTTTCGGTCTGTTTCATGTTTGTGATTTTCAGGGTTTTCTCGAACCCTTCCCTCCAAAAACAAGCAGAAATCTGTTTTTAATAACTCAAAACTACGTCTTGGTGCCAGTTTGTGGTTCAGGGCTGGAACAGACTTCGATAGAAAGTCTGTTTTACATCCCTCGACTTTGTGCAACGAGTAAAATCAGTGAGTTTTAACCATCAATCGTCTTTATTTCCTCCTCAGATCATCGAGAGGACCGAGTCTCTGAGGAAAAGGTGGGTTTGTAAACTTTGACAGTTTGACGGACAGAAAGCTCACAGAACATCTCCTGAGCATTTTCAGCAAAAATGATGCAGAGATGTTTACAGTCTTGGAGATTCAGCTTGTAAAGTGGCACCATGACATTTCCCACTGCCACTAGGAGGCGCTATTAAAGGGATGTCCCGGCATAAAATTACTTTCGGGTCAAACCCACTGTACAAGTTAGACCCCCCCTCCAGAGATGAATGTTGCCGACCGCTTGCTTCTCTAGTTATACCAACTTTAGTAACGACCGCAGGATAGAAATACAGAGAGCCACGCCCCCAACCAAAACGCCACTCTATAGCCACAAATAATGCTCAGAACAGCACCTAACTTCATCAACAGGACATATAGGGTCACAGACATAGTACTAGACACCAAACATCTTTTTAACTTTGACTCATTTCTTTAGCAAAGAGACTAAACACAACTCACCTACTCTCTTCCAGCAGACGCTTGTTTGTAGAGAGACCTCAGGCCAGTCCATTACAGACTACCTCGGCAACATTCATCTCTGGAGGGGGGGGTCTAACTCGTTGTTACAGTGTGTTTGACCCTAAATTAATTTTATGCCAGAATATCCCTTTAAAGTGATAGATAAGTTCAGGAGTAGACCCCCATTATGCATGGCAGGTTCGGGTCCAGTTGGAGCATGGCTAAGATTAAAACTATTTCCTGTTTGATAATAAAGAAACAGCTGACTCAGAGTTTGACGTGTCTGCAGGTGATTTCTGCCACTTTTCCCCAACTATGACGACGTTAACAGATGTCTTTTTTTAAGTCTAGGAAAGCTGAATGTTTTTAGCAAAATCATCTCTGTGTCAGCATAGTGACAGTTGAATAAGTGACCCTGTTAGTGTAGGACTGTTACCATGACAACCAGGTCGGCTAATTGACAGAGTCGTTGTTTAAACCGTTGCACCAGAGGTCTAATCCTCATCACCGTCGGCCTCGATCTGGGAGCAGGAGGATCAATCAGACGTATCAGCAGTTTGTCAGATGATCGAGCTTTATGAGTCACTTTTCCAGTTTTAGCAGCAGAGTCGTTATTGATTTTGATTATTTTTAAGAAAACTAACTTTTGCATTTTCCCTTCATGAAAAGCTCGGGGAGCATAAAGAAGACCTCTCCACCTGTTCCTGTTTCAAGGATTAACAAGAAACTGGAGCGGTACACTCAGGCCCTGGAGGTAAAACCCCGCTGAGCTCCTCCAACATGTTTGTTTGTTCTCTTTGTTCGCTCGTAAAAGAAACCATGTCGGATAACAACCTCATCTCTGCGTCCATAAAATAAATCAGACATAGAGCAAAAAACAACATCCAAACCTCAGTCTGAACCCTGTTATTACTGCAAACACGTTAAAGCAGTTTCTGTTCAGATAACCTTTTAAAGTCAGTGAGGAACAAACAGTGAGGAGCGCAGAGATCCAGGTAAAGGAACAGGGTGTGATTTTAGATGTGATTTTGATCAGAAAAGCCTGAAACGTCTCGATGAATTTCTCTGCAGGTTTCATCCAAAGACAGCAGACCAGGCGGTCAGGCGCTGACCGACCTGACGAGTCCTGCAGAGCCCGTCTCCTCGAAGAAGAACCTGTTTGAAGGAGGAGACGCCTGGAACCAAAGCAGCATCTCAGTCACACCGTCGAAGGTGAATTCTGAGTTTAAATGAACTTATGAAACAAACAAAACCCTCTTTTTATTACTGGTTTTACAGCTTTGAATGACATGCTCCCTCACTTCAATATTCAGCCTCAGATTATAGTCGTTAACAGTGAAAATCTCTTCACTCAAACCTGAATCTTCTGTTTCATGAGTAGATAAGTTCATTTTTATGACTTTAGATACTTGGATGAAGTTTCAGGTGTTTGTGGAATATTTAAAACAACATTTTAAAAACCTCTGAAATAAAAACAGGTTAAATATGAAACTGTTCTCGAGTTTCAGGACGCAGACGGGTTAAAAGTGGGCGTGGCCGATCTCATCAACCAGTGGGTGAGAGGCAGTGAGGATGCGAGCCGCTGCAGCTCGCCCTTCAGACCAGCAGTGAGTCACTATCTAAACCTAAATAACCTCTGCTTTACTAACACGCACATCAACAGTCAGCTAGTTCATGTTTTTCCATCCAGCGTGTTAACCCAAAAATCATCTCCTAACCATCTTTGTGCTGATCTCAGTTTTGTGTCACTGAGAGTTTCAACTCAGCCTAACAGATCAGTCAGTGAAAGTCCGCCCCCTGCTGGCTGCACCAGCATCACTCAGCTAATTTACAAACTCTTAAATTGATGCATTTGCAGGACTTTCATCCTGATAGATTTCTAACAATAACTGAACAGAAAACTGTCTCTGAATGTGATCATTTACAAACTCTGCTGCAGTTTATTCATGAAAGTGAATCTGATAAATAGAGTTTTATGATCTGAACTTCAGGAGAGCTCGACCGGTAAAAGGTACAAGTTTGTGGTGACGGGTCACGGGAAGTACGAGAAGGTTTCTGTGGACCAGGACTGCAGTGAGGATCCAGACTGTCAGTCAGGTGAGAACAAACATGAGAAACACACACTGGTTATTATTTAACTACATGTGAACCTCTTTAAAAAAAACACAGATTTTCTGATATATTTAGAAGGTTTTTTTGAGGACTGATCATCATTCATGTGTCATAAGTTTCTTGTTTGTCTGTTTGAGGCTCAAAAAAAGGAGAAAGAAGAAACAGTTTCACGTTCAACTTTATGCACTTTTAAAATCACACAGTAAAGAAAAAAGAAATTATAATTTAAGCTTCAGTGTAATAAAGGACTCTGTAGTTAGCTTATACAAATAAAATCCACATCATCACAGTCAAGGAAGACAAAGAGTCTCTGAATCAAGTAAAGCGAGAAAATGGGACAAAAAAACTACAGTGACAACATGCTAACACCTGCTGCTGCTGCTGCTGCTGCACTCGCAAAACCATCCAGAGCCCATCGTGATGTCTCCGTCCTCATCCAGCAGACCTTCTCATCCTCATCCTCAACCATTGGTCTTCATCTTCACATCCTACTTACAATCCAAAGTCCCAGATATTGTGCAGTATCGTTCACTCGTCCTGGACGATGCATGACAAGGCAAGAAAATACGACCCACCGTTCAGAAAAACTGTTTTCATGCTAATGTTGAACCGCGGATCTCCAACTCCTTCATCCCAGGGAAACAGTCTCATACATACAGTACAAATGCACACTTGGATCACACGTCACAGCACAGAGGATCCTGATGGGAATGTCAGCGGTGTTGCATCCTCTCCCTCTTCACACACCTGAATATTTGACAGATTTGAATCGAGACAAAAGAGTCCCTGAGGTGCCAAATCCAAAAGGCTCTATCCTCTGATGGCCATGAAAGTTTGTAGGAACAAAAATGGTGGACCAACTCGCCAGGAGATCCAAAACTGTCCAAGCTAAGTAAACAAATGAACACCTGAGCACCTCACCTGAGCACCTGAGCACCTACGCAGATACCTCACTGAAAAGACTCAAACTGGAGATCTTCAACGTCTCCTCAGATCTCTACATCCCCGATTCAAAAGTGTTTGGACGTCGTTAAAAAAACGGATATTTTTAATAATCTGTAAATACATCAAACGATAGTGCAAAGACAATCTATCTGTGTGGTTAACCTGATTTTTTTAAATGGTTTTACGACTTTTTTAACTATAATTCCAACAACAAAAAGGTTGGTATAATGACAGCAAAACACTGACAAAGTTTTGTACTGCCAGCGGGAAAAAACAGAAATATAATTGAGTTAATATGAAACAGGTGTGAACCATAACCGGGTACAAAAAGAGCATTAAAGAGATATCGTGTCTCTTAAATGCAAAAATGTCCGGATGTGATTTTGTTTGTGAGAGACTGCATCAGCCAGAAGTTCAACAGTTTCAGAGGGTCTTTAAAAACTGAGAGAATCTAGAATTAGCTCTACAAATAGGGGAAACCAGGACAGGGTTGGTCATGATTTTTAGTCCGTATTAATAGAGACATTACTCTAAAGTGGAGGTCACAGCATGGACTCAAAATCATGTCCAATATCAGTCCTGTCCATTCCCCAAAAACAGACGAGAAAACTGCGACATGATGGTTAACAGGTCCTTGTCTCACCTTATTTCAAATGTTTTCAATAATATTTTTAATTTTAACATCTTTGCACTTTTTCTAGATGAGATGTTTCAGGACTCTAACCAGCGTCCCGACTTTAGAATCGGGGTCGTGTATTGCCTCGCCCAAAGATGGGGTTGTAATTTCTTGCCCTGATGAAATCCGCCGCCACATTTCTATCCGTACTCGACTTACAAAACTATCCTGACTGCACCGCCGCCCCTCAGCCATCTGCTCACTTCATTCAAAACCCTTCTGCCCTGTTGTTCCAGGAATGTAAAAGCCCTATTTATCGCAGAGATTAAAAACTGTCTACCAGCAGTCAAGAACACTAAAAGCCTCTCTTTATTTAGAAAAATAGAAAAAGATCGAGCACGATAAATCAAACAGTCAAAGTATCCACAGTTCATGCATTCAGTCGAGACATCAACAAATGAAAAAATCATCAAACTATAGGGAGTTGCAGAGATGTGTCTACACGCCCCGAGAACCTAACGGGCTTCCTGTTTCTTTAAATTCAGACGACCATATATGGTGTCATGTCTCGCCATATTTTCTCTACATTGCTTTTTAAACGAGGCTCCCTAACCCCTCTGCGAGTGTTTTTCTCTGTTTTTTAGATTTTACAACACCAAAGCCACACACCACTCCCAAACACACGTCAGCATCAGTTCAGGTCACTCAGCAGCAGCAGTTTTTGTGGCACCGAATCCTCGTGCTTTCCTGTTGAAGTCCTTTTGCTCGTCCTCCTGACATTTGCGTTTTATCAGCCCCTTTTCGAACACAGCGGCTATTTTCGTCATCGGTTTCTCTGCCGCCTCCTTCAGCTTCCTGGCGTCAAATCGTGGACTGTACAGCAAAATCGGCAGACGACTAACGAACGAGGGGACTTCTGCTTGATTGTCTTTGGATGCCTTTTTCTCCTCCTTCTCTTTCTTGGTGGCATTGACCTGTTGCATGATTCGGTCCTTGGTGGAGAACATTTGAAAGAGGAGGGCATCCCACATCTTCAACGCTCTGGGACCGCTTCCATCCTTGACCACCTCCTGACCGGCGCATTGGTCTGTCGATGCCTCGGTATCTTTGAGTCCTTGATCCGTTTCCTCCATGTTGCCACTGGAATCGTCTTGAGGTTTGGGCTCCTGCGTAGGGAACTCCGGTTCTTCAGGTTCAACAACCATGTGTTTCTTGAGCCGAGTCCATCCACTGAGTTTTCCCTTCAGGCCTTTCGGCTTCAGGGTTGCTTTAGGCTCGGCGGCTGCAGTGGATGTCTCTTTGGCCGTTTTCTTGTCAGCAGTTGAAGATGCAGTTGATGTCGCTGACTTCGTGGAGGGTTCGACTGTCGGGGCCTTCTTCGTTGCATCTGTCGTTTTGGTCCTCAGATCGTCCTTGTCTTTGAGTCCAGTTTTTTGCTGAGATGGCGGTGACATTCCTCTGTTTGGGGATGGAGCTTTGACAGAGACTGAGGCCTGAGGCAGAGAGGCAGGAGTGGCAGTGTCAATCACAGCGGCTGTAACTTTTGATGGTTGTATGACAGTAGCTGTTGCAGGGGAAATGTTCTCTATCGGTGGATCAGTCGAAGGCTTAGCGTTATCGGTGTGTGAGCTAATCTGGACCGGATCTGGGGGAGACTTTGGCAAAGTATTTGTTGTAACCGGGGGCTTGGATTCTAAAGGTGCTGAGGAAGGTCTTGATCTAATCTGCCTGGTGGGAGGCTGTACCGGTGGACTGGGTTTAATGGTTGCATCGGTTGTACTAAGTTCAGCGCTGGGTGGGGACAGCTGAGTTTCATTCGTGGAACTGGTTTTTGTGTTTTGTGTTTTGGACTGATCTTTTGCGCCATCTCTGTTAGTCAGGACTGAAGTGTCTTTGGTTGGAGGTAACTTTATTTCTGGTTTTGGAGGGGCCTCTGTTATTGATGTAGCTACGGTCTGAACGTCACTAACAGCTGCTTTATTTGGATCAGGAGGGTTTGTCTGGTCTTTCAAAATGGCTGAGGGTTTTGTCTCTCTGGTGAGGTTTGGAGAAACAGGTCTTCGAGAAGTCTGGGTTAGTGTCGGAGTAAAGGATCGAAGAGGTGTACTGTGCATTCTTGGTTCTGGTATAGGGGGGGCTATTATAGGGGGGATATGTTTAGTTCCTGTAGGAGGACTAAGTGGGACTTTAGCATCTCTGATTTGAGTCTTTGGGGTGTGGATGTTATTTTCGGTCGATTTGTTCATTTCAGATTGGCCTAATGGTTCCACTCGAGTCTGAGGGCTTCTTGAACTCCTGGAGGATTGAACATGATCTCCAGTCAACATGCTTTTACTTTGTCTGGTAATGGATTGCTGTTCTATGCTGAAACTAGACTGGTTAGCAACAACGTGACCATTTGAAGAGGAAATAGTTGTTGTCTCAATCCTAAATGATCCAGAAGTTCTGGTCTTCATGACCGGACTTGGTAATGACTTACTGCCTGAACCTGGTTGGATGAAGGGGGTTTGTTCTTTTATGGTGGTCTCAGCTGAACTCGGCTCAACCTGATGGTTTGCAACCTGTTTGGTATCTGGTCCTGGTGCAGCATGGGTTCTTGTTTGTGCAACAGAACCAGAAACGTGGTTTGCATGAGCAGTCGGCTGACTCTGGGGTCTGTCTGATCTCAGTTGAGGGCTTTTTGGTGCAACTCGCCTCATGATCGGGCTTTTCGGCATGGCAGTTTGACTAAGTTGCATGCTAGCTGCTGTGTCTGTCATCACAAGCAAAGAAGCTTCAGTAGGGAGCTTGAGTGATACTTTCATTTCATTAGCATCCAAATGAGGTATGTTTGTCTGTGCAGAGTCTGCAACGGGTCTACTTTGATGAAGAGACTCAGCAGCTAATGGTTGTTGGGGAGGAGGGAGAAGGGTGTCAACGGAGGACTTGTTAGAAAGGAGTCCCTTAGATGGTTTGTTGGGTGGTTTGGTTTCACTGCTGGGCTTATTAAGAACTGTGTTACCCTTTAAAGGATCAGGGGATGGTTTCGTGTCCACACTGTTGCTAGCTTTATTTTCTGCTCTAACGGGTGAAGTAGGTGGATGTTCTGTTCGAGGTTTCCCGGGTGTTTCATTGGTGGGTTGTGGATGTCCTTTTGTTTCTACAGGTGAGCTCCTGGCTCTGTTCGTGTCAGCTGTTTTATCCGTGGGGGGCTTGGCTTCTATGTTAACTTGGGTTGGCAGTGTTGTAACTTTAGCAGGGATGGTAAAACCGTTTTCAGTTGATTTTTGGGTCTTTATCACAGAGTCTGTGAATGAACTCGCCCCTCGAGTTAAACTTTCCTGACCACTGGGACCTGTGCTACTCTGCGTGTTTATCGGTACGCTCTGACCGGTTTTGATCGTACTTGGAGGCTCTGTCTTAGGCAAACTTAAATCCAGTGGAAGTTTAGTGTCTGAAGTGTTGGGAGGTCTGGTTGCAGTGACAGACGGCTCAGGTATTACTGCTTCGCTACTGGATTTGCTGACTGAGTAAGAGTTTCCAGCAGGTGTACTTGGTGGACTGTTAACTACAGAGTATTTAGGAGAGAGATGCTGCGATGCTGCACTGAGCTGTTGAGTTGATTTAGTGTGTTGAGTGGCTGCAGATACTGCCACTGTGCAGATTCCATACTGTGCAGAACATACCGATGCTCTGACAGGCTCATGTGGCAAAACTGAATTTGTGGTTTTGATGACTGAGTCTTTATGAATCATATTGGAGAACTGTGGCCCTAGGTCGGTTTTCTCTGGGATCTTTTCCGTCTCAGCAGCCATTGGAGTCGCCTTTTTGGACAGACTAGCCTTTCTCCTGACTTTAATCTGTTGATAAGCCTCTTCCCTCAGTTTGTGTGACAGCACTTCAGCAGCTGACTGACTGGGAGGCGGGGTTTCTGAAACTGCTTGTTGATTTCCTAACACTGATGAGACATTCACGATGGCACTCCCAGGGAACTTGGGTGTTAGCTCAGCTGGGGGTTGAACAGACATTTTTATATGGTCAGCTAAACCTTGAACAGGATTTAGTTGGACATTTGGACCACTGACTCCACCAGCACTTTGGCCTACCTGGACTGGGGTTTTTGGTGGCTGTTGTTTTGCGTTAGCGACCGTGGGATCTAGATTTGTGGGTATTTTCTTGAGATTTTTACGATTCTCTTTGACGTCTACTTTTGTGATATGTTGTGTTTTTTCGTAAGGGTCCACTAAAGTTGAGGAAGAACTCGACAGACCGTTGCTATCAGCTCGGCATGGTTTTGTGTTCAACACTGCCTCTTTGGAAAGTATAGCCGCACTTAGTGTGTGTACCTCACCTGCTTTAGGTATTTTTATTGAAGCCTCAGTGAATGAGGCTTTTGGTGTGGATACATCATTTGTGGTTTGTTGCAATGTTTTCTGTGCCAAGCCAAAGGAGAGCTCAGGTTTACTTGTGTCCACGATAGACGTGTTAACTGATTGTTTTCCAACACTGTGAGCCTCAGACCAGACTTCCTCGAGGACATCTTTGGTGTTAGTGATGATCTGTTGGGCAGGAAGCTCAGAATCTCTTGGTGACGCCCCAGTGTTAGCAGCAGGAACCTCCACTGAAGACTGAAGATCTTGGTGCCCGTTGGGTTGTTTTGTTGCATCAATGCTTGCGACCTGGGGGTCCTCTGACTGAGTGTTGTTTGCAGGGGTTTCAGTAATCACAGAGGATGGAGGACTATGATGTGAGGATGCACTCCTAACCCCACCAAAGGCTGCATACTCTGCTGGAGTGAGTCCGTAATACATGGATCGGGATTTGGGCTTTGAGGCCGCCAGTGACATCTGAGATTCTAGTAGACATGTCAAAGACTTGCGTGCCTCGACCACAGGTGGACGATAAGGTGACGACAGATGACTTAGACTAGAAGATGCTTGAGCTGGTGGAAGATCCAGACTTGTAGTCTTTGGTACGGTGGAGTAAAAAGTGGGAACCTTCGGTAGAGATGATGCCTCACTTTCAGGAACTGTTTGCAGTTTTGAGATGACTGGCTTCATCGGTGTTGGTTTGACCACAGCAGGTGTGAGTGCATTCAGACTTGATGCTAACTTACTCCTGGAGTAAAGCTCAGGATTTCTCACAGTGCCTAGATTATTCAGAATCTCTACCTCAGTGTAACTCCCAGCATGTTTGGTTGGAGAAACTTCCGTCTGGTTGAGGTTTGTAGAGGCAGCAGGGGGTGGGCTTAAACTGCTCGTGTGAATCGTGGACTTCAGTCTTGAGGTGTCATTGGGAATCACAGGAGCCAGCGAGTCTTGGGAGCAGTTGAAAGCAGGACTTGCAGCAAATAAAAGCGGGTTGGGTTTGGATATTTCAATAAAGGGTGTGGCTACTCGACTTGGGGTACAAGCAGGAGTCTTAGGTCTTCCACCTTGGGGCCTGGACTTTGACAGATTCTGATCAGGACTCACTACTGTCACTATTGTCTTCTCCTTGTAAACAGCAGATGACAGCGCTCTCTGGCTGGCCGGGTTTAAAACCGTCAGGTCCTGCATTGATGGGGGTTTAGAGATCTCGTAAAATGTTGCCCTGGATGTATAAATCCTGGTTTGTGAGGCCTCAGGCTTTGTCTCCTTCACTGCTTCAACAAGTGATATTTTTGAGGCTGTTATCTCTGAGGGCATCTGGTTTAGAGGGCGGTTGCCATTGATGGGGGGTCTGGCAGTCCAACACAGTGTCTGGGACTGAGGGTTTTCCTTGAGGCTGGTGTTTGTCTCCCTCTGGCTGGGAATAAAAGGTTGTGTCTGAGTGTTGGAAACTGACAGCAGCTGTGGTAGAGGAGGTAGGTCTGCAACTTGAGAAGGTGCCAGTCCTGGGCCGCAGTTGGGGGTGGCCGGGGATAGGGTCAGGCTGTGAGTTGATATTTTGGTGCTGGGCTGGGACACAGGAACTGAGGGGACTGTTGTGACTGACCCATGAGAATTTGGTGTCATGTTTACATTGAAGGCGAAAGGATGGGGTGTTGTTGAAACCAGCTTGGGTGGTGATGGAGGTGGTGAAGCCGAAGGTGGCATCATGAAAGGTGTCACATCATCAAATAAACAAGAAGAACACTCATACAGCGGGGCCACCTGCTCTTCACGAGTCCTGATCTGAGCCCTGAAGGGCTGCGGGGGGAGGCTGCCTGTTTGGACATAGGGGGTGCTCTGAGGATGCAGGAATGCAGGTGCAGGGTGATTGTAGAGGGAGCCAAAAGGGGGACTGGAAACTGTGGGGTCTGCACCATAGACTGTATCCGGTGTCCTCGGTGGGCTGGACTGGTCACTGTGCTCGAGGTCTGTGCTCGCTTCGTTGACAGGCGACAGACAAGATCGAAAAGGGACAGGCGTCTGGGAGAGGCTGCCTTTTTTCTTGGCTCTCTTCTTCTTCAGTTTCTGAAGTCTGGCGTTGTCTTTGCCCGGCTTTGGCAGTAAGGGTGGAGGATACTGCTGGGAAAGGTCAGGATCCAGACCGTTACTGTAGCCCACTTCCATCAGCATGTTAGAGGTCTGAAAGACAGAGGGGACCCGTCACTTTATTCAGCTGAAACACACCAACAAATCCACATCCACACAAAACTATGAAATGATTATTCAGAGCAGGAGTCGGTTTGAATTATTTTGAAATTCTATGATATCAAAATGTTTGTAACATTATTTGTTTTTCATTTGTAACGCCATGAATATGTTTAATTATAATAATTTATTATGTTTGCAACCAAATAAACAAAATGCTCTTTAAGTTTTTATATTTCTGCACAAACTCTTTATCCCATCGTAAAGACTGATCTTTGTCCTTCTATGTCATTAGTCTTCTTTATGGTTTTATTCAGTTATTGCATTGGTTTAGATTTTGTTTCACATCTTAAGTCTTACTTGTAATTCACTACAGTGTAAAGTTGTGTTTATCAGTGGCCTTTATTTGCCCATAGAGAGATAGATGAAGCTGAGGTTATCCAACGGTCTTTAAGACTGAAATCTGGATTCTGTCCGATTTGCTTAATATTCCTATTTATGATGTACCTTTAAAAAAGGTCCAACAGAGGCCAACAAACTCAAAAATATGCAAATACAAAGAAACGAGGAGACAAAGCAAAAGCACAAGACTATAGAATATTTATAAAACACACTGATAAAGGACGAGCGCACTAAAGGGAGGAAAGTGAATTAAATAAACACACTAGTGAGCAGGAGGCTGTGCAAGGGATCGAGGAAACATCGCTGAGTTTGTTTTTAATTGATTATGGAAATTAAAGATGTTGATTTTGGTTTAAAGGAAGAATAACTGCTGATAATGTGTTTTTTCTGTCTTCTGAAGGCGGTCACTTCTACGAAGACTTGTGAGAGACAAACTGGACTTTGAAGATTTCATTTGGTAACGGCACAAACTTCAGCTACTATCACTTTATCGTTCCCTGTTTTTCAACATTTCACAACTTTATTTGAAATAGTATTTAAATCCTTTTGCTGTTTGTTTCCTTCCTTTGGCATCAGTCCTCTTCCTGTTAAAACTGGACAGCTAACCCTTTATATTGTGAATAATAATCTCAGCAGTGGTCAATCTTTAATGCATCAAAATAAATGTGATTAAAAAGGTTCTCGGAGTTTCATTTGTCCACAGCTGGTACGTGTGTCTTCTTTGTTATTTATACGTAGGCTGGTGGCCTCGCTGTGTGTTCAGCTGCTCCCGCGCTGCACTGATTTAACCCGCACTAATGGCTCTGAAGCAAATCTGCAGCCGGCTTTAGAAAACCACAGAGCTCTCATGACAACGGCCCCATTAGCAGCTTTCCAGACTCTTAATTGGGTCCTGAAGACGCTGCATGGCTACAAGGAGCGTCACTATTGTAAATAGAAAGGCATGTAAAGCTGTTGCTTATGGCTCGGCTACTTTGAAACGATGACAAACTGCTTATGAAAATAGTCGCTCAAGGAGACAGTCGGATTTAAAAGTGACCTCTGCGGGAAATAAAAGTAAACCCAAAGAAAGTCGATTGGCACGTACAGAGGGGTGAGCAGGTTCGAGGAGTGGGAGGGGCTTTTAGCTAACAATCAGAAATAAAGATGCTAAAAGTGTGAGTCGCAGTTAATTGGGTCCAAATTCCTCCGTCCCTGACATTACAAGCAAACAGTGAGAGGGAGCGTAAAGGTCAGGAACATAAATAAGTGACAATAAATGTGACATACATTCCTCTATACTGAGGCCTGCAGTGGACGGCTGAATTTTACAGAGGCAACAAAGGAGGGGTTTGACCCGCAGGTATCATGTGTCAGTTTTCACAACACTAATAACAATAACAATAACAATAATAATTATTATTATTATTGTTATTGTTATTATTATTATTATTAGTAGTAGTAGTAGAAGTAGTAGTATCATGAATAATAATGACGAGAATGATAACTAAAATACCAACAACCATAAAAATAATATTCATAAATAATAATAATAATAATAAGAAGAATAGCAATGATTGTAATAATAATAAAAATTACTATTATATATATATATATTATACTATATAAGATATAATATATATTATATTATACTACAATAATTATTATTATTGTTTTTGTTGTTATTGTTATTGTTATTATCATCACTATAATAACAATAATAATAATACTAACAATAATCAAAAGAATAATAATAACAAAAATAATAATAATTAATATACTCTTACTATTATTACCACAATAATAATAATAATAATAATAATAATAATAATAGTAACATACAACACTTATAAAAAGTCTGAATTTATGCCAGAGACTTAAATCTTAGAGACCTTTTTGGTCTTATTTCTAACTTTAGTAATAAACATTATTGACTTACATGTTGTCAATCAGATTTATATTTTATCATTAGACCTTTGTCTGAAACACTGCGTGTTTAAAACAACAACTGTCTGTCAAGCTTTTATTTTGATAATTTTTCTGTACTGTCAATGTATGCTTTTATTTTGAAGTATACAACATCCGCCCAGTAAAAACATGGGTGTGCTTAATCCACAGGTCATGTGACTGTTTGTCAATCAGATCACTTAGAATAATGACTAACATGATTTAAATAATACAGCGTAGTTACAAGGACAAAGATATAATCAAATGTTTACAGGCTGATTATGTTTTTGGTCTAATTGGCTCAGGGTTCCCACGGCAACTACTGGACCAGGAGTAAGCTTTCATTTCAGGGTCAGAGGTTATCTAAAATCAGAGGGACAGCCGACTTAACTGACAGGCAGGTTTCATAAGAAGTCGACCAAAAGTTAGGTTGAGTCAATATGGAGACGGTTCACTAACTGATTGAGACTATGGCCCGTTATTATGGTCTATGATGACCACTGCTGTAAACTCATGGTGTAACCATGTGTTCAATACTTAATCAATACTTGATTTTCTGAAAAAGATTTTTAATGTTAAAACTGCAACAGTCCTATTTGAAAGAAGTCCTTTTCCTCTGGCGTTGTCGGGTGAATAAACCCCGGATTAAGTCTGTTTAGAAAATCTAAAACTCTGACTTAGATTGGATTTTTTTCAGTGTTTTTCTGTATTATTGACATCCATTGATAGCAGGTTTGTTTACGATAAAAGACTTTGAATTGGCCTACTTGTGTCCACTCTGACTGAATATTTGAGCGTCTTTGGGTGACTGTAGGAAAGGTCCGCCGTCTAATTTTAGACTGAGGGAAATAAGAGCAAACATCCTGACACCCAGCACCTGCTGCCTGCTGTCCCACCATCACACCAACAGTCTCAGTCTGCTGGAAATCAATCCCAGACCCAAATCCTCTCAGAGCTGCTCTGACTCTGAGCTTAGCCTCCACTTTCAGACTGAAGATGAACCTTTAGTAACTCTAGCAGACTCATGTTTGCGTTAGTTCACTCCTAAAAAGTTACAAGAGTCTGTCTCTTCAGGGTTTTTTTCTGCAGATGTCACTTGAAAACCTCTCGGGGGATTACAGCCCAGTCTAAAACTCTTAAACGGTCTGATTGTTTGGCTGGTTTGGAGCGAGTGATTTACGCGACTGTTGTCAAAGTGACTGCTGCAGTCACAGTGACAAGGAGGCCAGCTGACACATGAGACCTCCCCCTTTTAAGGCTCTGGGGTTGGATATCTGGGAGCTTTCCATTGGAGCAAAAGAGGAAAGTATAAGATTAGCTGTGGGATATAACGGTGCCATGACCTCAATCTATTCAGCTTTAAAGGACTCAATTAAACAAAAATGGAGGCCAAGGTCTGCGTTCATTATCAGCTTAACAAATCCAAGCAGTGCATACCTGAAGTGGGAGTGCTTGTTGCTTGATTTTGCTCGACAGGCTGCAAAACAAACAACAGTCGAATGTTAGGAGGGAGGGACAGACTCGTTTCATTCATTTTTCACCATCAAGTTCATGTAGAAAAGCAGAGAAGAGGCTGATTATGCACTGAGGGTGCACATGCAACTCTGTCACACAGTGTGAAAGTGTGTAGAAATGTGCAGTAAAGTAAAGACTGCTCTGCAAACTCTCTCTTCTATAAAAGGTCAAATATCCAACAGGAATCATGCATTTCAGATTTCAGAACGTGCACGTGCTCCAATCGAGTCCTATCCGTCATTTGCAGGTTAGCACCAGGCTAATGGGTCAGGACTGTGCAGGCTGCAGTACAACCAGCTTGTCAATCAACAGACACTGAGTTTGACTGGTTTACCTTCGATGAGCGGCTGTCGTGGACAAACTGCTGTCTGCCTGTTAATCCCGGCTCAGGGTGCCACAGGGCTCATCCTGAAGTGAACTGGAGCCTTGGGGAGCGAGCCACAGCGCCCGCGGCCGCTCCAAAAATAAAACTGTCGCCTTCAGTGTGTGTTGGAGCAGAAGCAGATGGGGGTTTCCAGGCCACCTGAGATGGCTGAGGTGCAGCCCCTACAGGCGGGCTGCAGAGACCTCCACCTGAAGGACGGAGGGAAGGAGGCGACGCTTTGTACCACAAACAAAGTGACATCAACAAGGTTGGGTTTCCTGCTTCTCTCCTGACCAACCTCAGAGTAATATTTACAACAACAACACCAATCACACCTTCAGATCAGGGGAGGGAGCCAATCACAGGCAGCCTCTCAGTTTATGGGACAAAGCTTCATTTTCAACCACTGAAAGGAGACCTGGACAGGTTTTAGACCTGGACAGGTTTTAGACCTGGTCAGGTTTTAGACCGAGTCCCTCTTGCTGATGTCTCTTAATGAGTTTAATGAGATCATCAGCACCAGGACTGGCTGTTTCTTCTGGTTCCTGTGTGAGAACTAAAGGGAAGAGGACTCTGATTTTTCAGGGTCTTCATTTGTCACTTATGGCTCTAAAACCCAGCACACTGACACAGAGCTGCAATGCCTACTACACAGCGGGTGATAGTGCTCATGGGAAATGCAGTCTTACTCTTCCAAAAAAGGTCAGCAATCAACACGGCAGTCTGCTGTCTCCTCTGTCTTTCATAGTCTCAGAGGACGAACCAGAAGGACTGGTTACAGTTGAATACCTGAGCTCTCAGTCAGCAGGGAGCCGATCAGAGCTCTGTCTGCCCTAATGTCGACTCTAGAAACACGGTGGACTCTAGAAACACTGACCCGACTCTGGAAACACTGTCGACTCTAGAAACTCTGTCGACTCTAGAAACACTGATCCACTCTAGAAACATGGTTGACTCTAGAAACACTGTCGACCCTAGAAGCACTGACCCGACTCAAGAAACACTAATCCACTGTAGACACACTGTTGACTCTAGAAACACTGTGGACTCTAGAAACACTGTGGACTCTAGAAACACTGTGGACTCTAGAAACACTGTGGACTCTAGAAACACTTTGGACTCTAGAAACAATGTCGACTCTAGAAACACAGCCTCCAATCTAGAACTACTGACCCACTCTAGATCGACTGTTCACTCCAGAATCACTGTCAACTCTAGAAACACTGTCAACTCTAGAAACACTGAGACACTCTAGAAACACTGACACACTCTAGAAACACTGTCGACTCTAGAAACACTGTCAACTCTAGAAACACTGACACACTCTAGAAACACTGTCGACTCTAGAAACACTGACACACTCTAGAAACACTGTCGACTCTAGAAACACTGTCAACTCTAGAAACACTGACACACTCTAGAAACACTGTCGACTCTAGAAACACTGTCGACTCTAGAAACACTGTCGACTCCAGAAACACTGTCAACTCTAGAAACACTGACACACTCTAGAAACACTGTCGACTCTAGAAACACTGTCGACTTTAGAAACATGGTTGACTCTAGAAACACTGTTGACCCTAGAAACACTGTCGACTCCAGAAACACTGTCAACTCTAGAAACACTGACACACTCTAGAAACACTGTCGACTCTAGAAACACTGTCGACTTTAGAAACATGGTTGACTCTAGAAACACTGTTGACCCTAGAAACACTGTCGACTTTAGAAACATGGTTGACTCTAGAAACACTGTTGACCCTAGAAACACTAACCCACTGTAGACACACTGTCAACCCTAGAAAAACTGTCAACTCTAGAAACACTGTTGACTCAGGAAACACTGTTCACTCAAGAAATACTGACCAACTCTAGAAACACTGACACACTCTCGAAATACTGTCAAACTCTATTTAAAAAAAAATCCTTAGTGACTTTTTGCTTTTAATTTTTGTGTTTAATGGAGCAGATTAAAAAATAACAGCAGGTTTAAAAAAACAGACTAATGACCAAAACTGTCATATATACTCCTCTATGATAGTTTATATATTTGGCTGAAGAAACAACAGAAATATTCAGACATAACACTGTGTCTGTGTGTGTGTGCGTGTGTGTGTGTGTGTGTGTGTGTGTGTGGTTGATATATGACTCTGGATTCTGCTTCTGTCAGTTCCTGCTCTGTAAACCTTCGCTCTTCAGTTATTATTATTCCCGGGTCAGTTTGTTTGAAGAGAGGTCGGGTCTGTAACAGGATCCAGCTGCACTTCAGAGCTCCTTATTAGCAGCAGTTCATCTTTAAGAAACTATGTATTATAGTTATTTTAAGTGTGATACTTGGACTTGGTTACAGCTCTTAAACTCTGCTTTTTAGGATCAGTGATTCTCTGTGTTGTTGCAGTAAAGCTCCTGACCACCAGTGGGCAGCAGCAGCACTATGTTCAGTAACCTTCCCAGGCTGTGCACAGGGAGGGGTGGGCTGGCGAACACTCCTGCACATAGTATAGATGTTACTGAAACTGAGAGCTGCAGTCACACATGCACCCTCCTGGAAAAGTCCCAGAACTTTTCAGGCTGAGCTGGACGCAAACAGCTGAGAGTTTGGAGAGTTTAGTTCAGTTTCTGCAGGAGGTCAGAGGGAGTGAAGGCGTCCAATTCACAGAGAGTAAGGGCTGAAAAGGAGGGTCATTTCTGAGACTCATGTTAGTCCACTCACAGCACTCGTATACAAGCAAAAACTGTCCCCACAGTGGAGCTCACATCCTGCCCCATGCCCCTAGACTCTAGCCGACCCTAGACTCTCGCCCCTCTGTTATCTGACAGGTTAGACCTGGTGCTGTTGGGGACGTATGAAGAAATCGGAGTGTTTGAATGAAAGAGTCCTCGCTCCTGTCCTGTAGCCAACCATCAGTTAACAGATTAACAGTAAAATCCAGATCCTGTCCTCGTTAACTCACCGAGTTAACAGCAGACACACGCGCTCACAGAGTTGTTAAGGGTCCAGCTTGTTATCAAACTGTGAGCAACGTTAGCATTCATCAGGGCTCGGGTTTCCAGCTGCACTATAAACTGAAGGGAGGTATTCACTCCTCTTTAGCCTTGGTTCTGATATATGTGTTTGACATGAAGCCGTACAGGCGGTCTGAGAGATACTGTGAGGGGGGGCGGAGCCTCAGTGACGTGAGAAAACCCTGTCAGACATTCGAACCCTCAGCTGAGATGTTGACTCTTACTGCTCCACATATAAGTGCCGTGATATAAAGGAGGGAGAGGAAATCCAGGGGACCCACCGAAACCTCGTTTGTTCATCAGCCGCCCTGCCGTGACATTTACAAACTACACACTGTACACACACGCACACACACACACACACACACACACACAAAACAGACCATAGAAAAACATGTCAAACACCCTCCTCTGCTTTTTACAGGTTTGTTAGGAAGCCAAAATATGATGGTCAACAAATTTTTAACTGACTAACTTGGACTTGACCTGACCTACAGACCAGCAGAGACAGTAACGGCATGTGTTCCAGACTCAACTTGATCAAAAGTTGATGAATAATTAAAAAGTGAACCCCACACTCGTTAAGAATAAATAATAAAAAGGTCCAGAAAGAAAAACAGTTTTTTTGTAACAGACTCTAAAAGTGTTTAAATCACCTTAAAAAAGTCCAGACTCTGACAGAGGTCCTGGGTTTGAAAACCGACCCTGGACTCTCCTGAATGCTTTAAGAACTACAATTCTTTGCACTTGACTACATTTCCCAACAGGTGTGGTTTCTTTCTGGATATCTCAGACTGAGGGATGAGAAGATTAACCGATACATACAGATACACGGTCACGTGTGTGCAAGATGCGGGTGCATCGGTGAGAGTGAATGCAGTTTTGAATATCGAGATCTATCGTTATTATATGTTTGTATCGATACAATCTGATCCGTGTAATACATAACTTTAATTTTTACATTACTAACCATTTTGAGGGCATTGTTTCTTCGGACTTGTGGATGTACACGACACCGTGTACATCAGCACCGTGAGTGAGAAGGAGTGTGAAGAGTGAGGTAAACAAATATGTCGGACGCTGACTAAAGTTTACCTTTTCTGAGTTGTAAATCTAAAGTTTAGCAACACTGCGGGTTTTACAAGAAAGACAAACGTCTTGACAAGACAGATTTGCAAAATATGCCGCGCTGCCGTGAAATAAACGCAGCTAACCTGACTAACCGGATGATTTGGCGCCACAGTGTTGACGTGGAGGGGTCTGCTAGCGCCCCGCCTCCCCAGCTTCCAGCTCAGATTCGCCGGCGGCTCCAAAAGTGGTGAGTAAAATATTTTAAGTTCCTTCCATGTTTCTACGTACTCAATGGCAATAAAGTGTGCTATAGCATTTTTCATCTGCAAAGATATTCAGTCTTACAAACACGTCCTCCATGTCTTTGAGCCTCGCTGTAAAATACCAAACCGAGAGCTATTCTCCGAAAACCAGATCCCTGCCCTCTACGACAAAGTTAGAAGATAGGTAGGGTAGTCACTGAGCAAAGCCCCAAAGAGTAGCTCTGTATCATGATTTGAGTGTTAATAGTATTGTATTGCATCCTGTAATGCAGCACATGTATCTTTAATATATCAGATCAGAGACATTAAAACAAGATGTGTATCGTATCGGCCTAATACCTAAGCTCGCCAACTTATCAGCTGTAATTTTTTCTTTCTAATTTTTATTTTAACTGATTATATTCAGTTTGGTTTTTAACTTCCGACCAAAACTATTATTCTTCAAAATAAAGTCGTAGTTGGACAATGCCGGTATTATGCTGAGTTCCAGTTACCTCAGAAGTCGGGTGTTAACAGCGTTCCAGTTAACAATGTGGAAAACCAAGATGGACGCCTACAGTTACTCGTTGTTAGCTGTTGTTTTCAACTCTCAGCTGTTGTTTGTGATACCAGTTGGAAACGACACCTAAAACAGTATTTTACTCTTACCAACACTATACCACCGTGTTCACAGTTAGACGTTGGGCAGTACGACATAAACCACTTATTTAATTTCACAAAAACAAAACAGAAGTGCTGATAAATAAAAACATTATGAGAGCTTTTACTGTTACTCTTTACTGTTGATGAACTGCGCTGCCATCTTAAATTATGACATTATCGCCAAGTCGGAGTTGGCGAGGATCGTCTGACTTTCCGAGTCGGAAATCCGACTTCAGGGGTGTGTTCCAGATGAATTTCCGACTTACAGCTCAGATATCCCGACTTCTGAGTACAGCTGGAACGGAGCATTAATACAAGAAATAAGAAATTTCAAAATAAAAGCACGACAAACAACCGTTCAATTAAGTGATTTTTTTAAAAAGAGGTTTTAGAAATGACCAATAATAGATCAAATATTTGGATATTATCTGAAACAGATAATGACATGTGGTTAACTTTGATTATTGTGTTGTTTTATTTTTCAATTACTCCATAAATATCATAAAAATATCGTAACTTTATCACACAGAGACATTATTGTTGTTAAAATCATCTTTGGTTTTCTGCAGATTTGTGTCGTTTCAGTTTGCCTGAAAGAAAGAAGTGAAGTTTATGGGAAGATAACAGTTTAAATATAAAATCATTTATTTCTTTGAGTAAAACTCTCCTTTAAAAATCAAACAGAGATCACACTGACAGGAGTTAGCGCTCTGTTTTTACACATCAATCATGTGTCATTATGTCCCTCTGAGTGTTTGAGTGACTGGTTGATGAATCAGCACACACACACACACACACACACGCGCGCACACACACACACTTTCCCTCCATTGTCTGGATGCCAGGCTGATGTGTAACCCCTCCTCTCAGCCTTCACTGTAAATTTAGCAACAGAAGCTTCTCAGCTGCTCCTTTCCTAAACCTGAGCCCTCCTCTTCCATCCGCAGTATTTCATCCATCTCCTTCTCCAGGGTCATGACTGCCCGCTCCCCCCGCCTCCCCCCACCTATTTCTAACATAAACATACATTCAGCACACACACACCGACACACACACTGACACACACACACACACACCTTGCTCTCATCCTGCAGCCAATAAGGGCCTGATGAGCTCAAGTATCAGTATAACACAAGGACTTATTCTCTGAGCCCAGCCTGAAGATTCTTACAGACCTTCATCTTCATCGCCTGAGGAGCCTCTCGTCCTGTCTGAGGTAAGATCCTCGCTGACTGACAGATGGACGCCGTCCCTGATCCCCCTCACTAACACTGAACCTCGTCTTTCTCTCTGTTGGAAAAGACCGAATCTGCTGCTTTTGTTTGACGATAAGGAGAAGGACGCACAGGTGTGACTTAAGAGGGGGAGAAAACCCCCTCAGAGCTCCATCTGTGCCCCCGACGGTGTAACCTCAGGAGGGTCCGAACAGACAGACATGTTCTGCTGCATGTCAGACACGTGTAGTTTATGTCTGAGGCTGTTAACAGTCTGTCTGAGGAGCAGGGCTCCGATTTCTGCAGACCAGATGATCTTTACAGGTTAATAAAAATGTCACATAGACAAACCAAACCGTTGGCTTTTAAATAGAAAATGACAACCTAGATTCCTTCATCTTTCAGGGACATAAATCTAGTTTAAAAAAACGGTTCGAAGGAAACAGCTGAATTATCAAGTAATGAAACACAAATAGAGTTCAGCGTGGAGCTGCCAAAAACCAGACCACCCAACTCTGATCGGTTTTCTGAGCAGATTCTCCAAATGTCACAAATTTAAAAGTATAAATTATAGAAATTCAACTCTGAAAGTATAAATTCTGTGTGTGTCCCATCTCTTTACTTTATCTCCTCTCAGTTTTAGTCCACTCAGAGTCTTTAAATAGTTTAGTAACTCTCCAAGGTCCATTTACAGACTGGCTAACCTGCAGCTTAGTTTGTGCTCGAGTCCTGCATGCATAAAAAAGGAGTTTGTTAAATTGTCAAACACAGACTTCAGATTGCAGAGATGTGACTGATCAGACTGCAACATGCAACAAATCACCCAAACCAGAGCGGAAGCTGCTTCTCTGTGCAGATTTTTGATGCCTGACACTCAGTTTCTCATTTACTCAAAAACTTTATTCAAATCTTTTGTCCCTGAATCCATTTTCTTTTGTGTGTGTGTGTGTGTGTGATGTAAATGTTTAAAAATAACCACGAGGAGACACGTGAGACACGTGCTCGCTCTCACAGTCATCCTGGTGCTTATTTGACAAAAGCAGATGCCAAACAGTCGGATTTCTTCTCCATATTTCTGATTTTCAATCTCAGGTTCTGCATGCATCATACAGTCTTCTCCACCTGAGACCCCTCGCCTTCGTGTTGAACTTTGAAATGATACCCCGCCGCAGTCTTGACCTTAAAATGAGGCCAAGATGTTGGAGTTATGATGTTGGAGGTGGTGGTGATGATGTGTAAGGTGTGTACATCCTTCATACAGTCGTCTCTCTCTCTCTCTATAGAAGTCAGACTGATGTGAGCCGTCTTTAAATTCGGCTCGGGTTTCAATCTCGGCTAAATCTGCTCTTGATTGGCTCGGGATTTGTCGTTGGTCTGCCATGTCACCTGTTTGTTCAGTCTTAAAGTGTCAGCGCCGAGTTTTGATTTCAGAAAAGACCCAGAAACACTTCTCAGCATCCGCTGCTCTCATCTTGAAGAAATGAAGTGGCCTTCCACTAAATATACTGAGTGCTGAAGTGTCGGTATGTACTGAGCGAATGCTGGACACACAGAGGTGAGGGCGCTGTCAGCCCTGAGTCGATCAAAGAGGAGCTCATTTGTTGGACCAGGATGCTGATTGGCTGCCTGAGCCCAGGGATCCTCCCGCTGGACCGAGCCGGGGGATTAAAGCAGCTATTTGGACACCGTTCCTCAGCTGATGGGGAGAAATCTGATCCAGAACTAATCCTCTGAGTCCTCTGCAGCTGTGCCCACTGCTAAGTGTGAAGGAGTCATCCAAAGACACTTTATATATATATATAACAAATCAGACCTATATGGGAGAAATCTGCTCCAACAAAGATGCTCCTCAGCTCCATCAGGAGGAACTTTGGAGACTCAGGTGGACTGAGGAGGTGAACAGGCGTCAGTTTTATGAAGTGTGAGAGCTGCTGTTGAATCCAGTGAAGAAGAGTCAGTTAGAGGAGATAAATCTGATGGAGAGGAGCTGGAAAAAGACGAACTCAGGTTTTTGGTCCCTAACCCCTTAGAGAGACTTTAAGTCCTCATTGGAGAGAAAACTGGTTCAACTTTAGACCAGGACTCTCCCTGAAGCTCAGTCTCCATTCAGCTGGAAAAGATCAGAAACTTCAGTTTTAATTTAAATTAGTTTAAAGTTAGGATAACAGTTTCTGCTTCAGAACAATAGAGCTGATCCAGTTCAGTTTGTTCTCTGGACTTCATACAGTGAGCAGGTCTTTAGGTGGACCAGAATCCTGAGGGTGAGACAAATATGACTCTAACTATTTTTATTTTAATATTAATATAATGTAAGAAAAAGATCCTTCCCTGACATCTAACATACATCTAAAAAAAATTAAATAGAAGTAAAAAAAAAAAAAAGTTTTTCATGAACATTTTTCATATTTTTCTTTCTAACAACAAATGTGCAAAAAACAGAACTATAACATTTAATAAACACGTAAACATTGTTATTTTCCTGGCGTTAAAAAAAAGGTTTGAGGAAGAATTCACCTGACCTGATACCCCCCCTCAAAGACTTGTTCCCTTTCCTCATTGATGTCTCCTTGCTTCCTTCTACCTCGTCCTCCTGTGTCCTTTTCCCATCAAAAAATGACAAATGAATAAATAAGTAACTTTATTGGAGATAAACACAAAGGAAACACTTTAGATAACAATAGAAATGATAAAAAATAAAACTGTAAATAAATAAAGGAAATCAGGGGTATAAATACAGATATTTTATAACCTTACACATGTGTATTCTGTCTTATGTTTGGGTAGGAACACAAACGTCTGGTTCTTGTTTTTAACGAGAATTATCTTAAAAAGACATTTTTCAGGTGAATATGGATTAAATTAAACACAATAAGAACTTTTTTTTACTGAAATTTGACTGAAAAACTTGTAAGTTTGAAGTTTCTGATTTCACAATCATTATCTTTTAAAATTACCTTAAAAACGTTAAAAAACTTGACTTTAAATAAAACCAGAATAAACCAGGAAAGAGAGATAGTTGGACAGAAATAAAAAAAAACTAATGAATTTTTGAAGAAAAAGGAAATTATGAAAATAGAATTTAAAAAGGAAATAAAAACTGAACAACAAACAGAGAATTATTCAAACAGTCACATAAATAAATCAGACGTTTCCCTTTGTTACTGTCACAGACCATAAAACCATAATCACAGACTATAATAGACTCTTAGACGGTCAAAAATCCGTAAAGGTTTCAGGTTTTAGTCAGAACCCGTTTACACAGATCCTATTAGAGGTCTTTGCTGGTCCTTTTGGTGCAGGATGGGACTGGATCAGGAAACTGTCCTGGAAGGAGAGGCTCTTAAATTTATCCTGGCCGTCTCTTTTTTTAGGACCTCAGCCTTCGTATTTGTGTTGGATGATTTCATGTCCTGCTAAACTGAGTGTCCCTCTGTTGGCCGTCCTCACAGCAGCAGCAGCAGCTCTATCACGTCTTCTTCACACTGTCTTTTGGCACCCACTTCATACCCACTTCCTGCAGTTTACTGTTGCTTTGTTTTCTTCACTTTGGTAGATGTCTCCTTCACTAGATCCCTCTCTTCTTCTGTCCTCTCTCTGCTGATGACTTAAACCCTCGACTCTGATGGATTTGGACTGTTTTTTTTCCCATAAACTTGATATTAAAGTTGGTCGGTTTAAATCGTCATGGTTACATCTTCGTCTTAAAAGCGTCTTGAGTCCCTGCAGCTGGTCTCGCGTGTTGTCTGTAATGTCTGTAAATGTGGACAAAGTGAGAACACCATCAGGAGGACCGGGTGCTAAAAATGGCGCGGCGGTCATAAGTGATGATGACAGTTTATATGAAGTGGACTTGTATCAGATTCTCATGAGTGGAAAAAAAGAAGATCAGAGCTCCGGGCCAGCTGAGTAAACACTCGCAGAGGTGATGGGGCTGAGTGTGATAATGCTGCAGTGAGGACAGACTCAATGTGCTGCAACTTCATCATCTCATAAGAGGAGGAGGAGGAGAAGGAGGAGGAGGAGGAGGAGGAGGAGGAGGAAGAGGAGCGAACAGAGGAGACTCTTCGGAAGAAACAAGTTCAAGTCTGGCTTCAAAATCTCAAACATAGAAACACTTCAGGTAGATTTGGGGGTCACACAGGTGGTTCTTCTTCACTTATTCCTCCCTCATTTGGAAACCTGGTGTTCGGTTCTGAGTCCATTTGCCTTGTGTTTTTGCTCAATGAACGGGGTCTATATTATCCGAGTCCAGTAAAAGACAGAATCAGGTCCACAGAGACCCCGGTGTCCTCTTCTTCTCCCAAAGCTGCGTGCTCTTGCTCAGACGTGGATCCATCTTCAGGTTTTTACACACTGACTCTAACCCGGGGATTTCACTGGATCCGGATCCAGGCGGATCAAATATGCAAGCATACAGCGCACACTGGATCCAATCGAGGAGAAGCGCTCGCAAGATTACCCATATTTCTCTGGTGTTTCCCCGTGAGACACTGAATAAGATCTGCTGACACCAACATCCCACAACCCTGGCCTCTCCTAGAACAGTTCAATGGATTGACGTTATTTTATTTTGAAAATTAACCGAATATTTTACTCTGTAGCCGAATAAAACTTCCTAAAAATAGAAGTCTTGCGTATCCTTGAGAGCCGGACGGCGGACGGATTCTGTGGAATGACTCACATTGATTATAATGTTTGCGTATTTGATCCACCTGCTGTTCTGGATAATGTGGGTTTTAGCCGTTGAGGTCTGACTTCAGTGTGCACCACGGTGAGAGTCTGAATCTGAGTTCATGTGTCTTTGTCGATGAGAGGAGAACCACAACTTCAGCCTCACTGATGGATGTAAAATTTCACTCTGAGTGAAAGTTTGGACTTGGTGAGCAAAGTTTCCGTCCAAACCTGAATCCCTGTGTAAAAACTGGGTTTTAAATAAAAGAAGTATGACGGTGATTCAGTTTGACTCTGTTAAAGAAGAGTAAATTTATCAGAAGTTGAAGGTTTCTGTGTTTATTTTCTGCTCAGCTCTGGTTTGGGTTAAAAACTCTTAAATACAGACGGAGGTCAAATGCTTGAGGGTCCTTTTAGTCAAACGATCAGGTCTCATCGGCTTTTGTCTTTCATCGCAGTTATGATGAAGTTGAAGCTTCTATTTTAATCAGAATTAAATATTTAACACAATTTGATTATTGGCTTCAAGCGTCACTTCTTAATAATCAATCAAACTCGATCATCGATCAGCGTGTCTGAACCCCGTCAGTGTTTTTCCCTCCAACGCCGAGCCTTCACATTTTTACTAAAGACGCTTTCACCAAAATAACCTGCAGCAGGAGTTGTTGGTATTTCTGCAGCGGAACGGCTGTCTCTGTCGGGTTTGACCTTTGACCTTTTCATATCCACACAGTCTCCGTGTTGCTATTTCAACCCCGTCAACCAACCAGGCTCTTTGTCTTTTCCCTCAGGTGTGAAGTCTACTGTCACCATGTCTGACACTGAGGAAGTGTGAGTCCGCCCCTCACTGTCCACATCAACACACACACACACTCACACACACACTCACAAACATAAACGTGTGTAACTAACTTCTGGTCTCTTTCTCTCTTTTTTCAGGGATCAGCTCGAGGGTAAGTCCCCACCCCTCCGTTTGTTTTATTTCTTATAAAGTGACATCTAGACGGTGTTTTCTAGACTGCCTGTCTCTGATGTTCAGCTTCTCTCTGTAACTCTGTGTGTGAGAGGTTCTGTGTTCACAGACTTGGAGGTGAACTTTGACCCCAGTCCTCCAGTCTTCTCTGTATTGATGAGAGCGCCAACAGAACCAGAAGCTCGTTTTCCACTCTTTACTTTTCTTACACATCTGTCCTGATATAACGGGTCAGGAAGTGCTTAAAGCCTGGTTCATGATTCGGTATCAGACTTCCACTGTGGGTCCATGTAGCCCTGGTACCGGTACCAGCACAGACAGAGCCCTGCACACTTGCAGCTTCTTGAAAATAGATCTGTGCATTAATAGACTGTTTGTAGTGTGACTGTCTTCCTAGTATCGACACCGTCCCCCACAGTTAGGGCTGGGCGATAAAACGATAAATATAGAAAATTATCGATATAAAACATGATCAATATGCTTTTCAATAGTCGTCATTCTGACATGTTTTGGTCGACTATACGAACAGCCAATGAAAAGGGGCGTGTCTCCGGGTCTGAACCAATCATGTTCTGAATTAGAACCAGTAGAACCATGTTTTCGTAGCAGACAGCAGCTCCACCCAACCATAGCACTTTAACAGGTGAAGCCGACAGCACTGTTGGTGAGAAACAAAGAAAATGAGTGCTACCCCCGACAGAAATGACCATGAAGGCTCATCGTCCAGCCCCACCCACATCCTCTCAGCTCTGATGGCGCCGACTCTTTCAGCAGAGTCGGTGCAGAAGCATAAACCGGGCTTTACACTGTCGGTTCTACATGTATTTGGAGAACTATGATTGTACAGAACATATATCAGGGATGCACCGTGTGTTTTACTGAACAGACAGAATTGTAATCAATTAAAAAAAAACTGCTGTTATGCTGTTCATTTTGTGTTTTTGTGGATCAGACTTCTGTCATGCAGGACAGGTCTGCAGAGCTGTGGGAAAACTCTACTGTTGGCTAATTAGCACTATTGCGCCCTCTGTTAGTCGCTGCAGGTACTGCGGTTTCATTCTTCTTCAGTATTTTTTCCTTTGAGGACTTTTGTGATATCTGCAGCCAGGACTGGGCGGTTATATGATGGTGATAAATTTCAGTTTAAACACGGTGATCATCTGTGAGTATATTCACTCGCTCAAACATGGCCGAAATGTGCGTCACAACAGCCAATCAGAGTCGAGCTTTTCCTGCTCAGTTCTTACCAGAGAAGTAAACAGAATGACCGAACGTGGAGCTGAATGTGGAGCTGAGGGCAGCAAAGTAGACGTCAGCCGTGACTTTTATCCTCTGAGGATGTTATTGTTGAGAAGAAAAGTTATTTTATTATTATTATTATGTTTGACGTCGAGCAATTACGCCGATGTGTAACGTATGTCGGCGGTTGGTGCCCTCAAAAAACAGCAACACAACAGATCTGTTTCATCATTTGAAGAAGTTCTTCCGAGTGGAAGCATGAAAACATGGGCGGAGTCTGTACAGCCTGTCAGTCAGTCCGTTTCCATGACACTCAAGAAAACCGAATTATCGCCTTATTCCGATGAAGACTGGACAACTGAAGGTCATGTAAACACTTTAGTCCGACTATAATCTGAGTTTAAGAACTCTGATTAAGACACTCAGATAATGGGATTGGAATAAAATTTTCTCGACCATGTAACCAGCGTAGTCGGAGTATGACGCCACGCCCCCGTAACCCCATAACAAAACCCCCAGAGTAGAGGAGTAGCGTTGGTCTCCTCTTTAGAAAAAGTAGCGCGTCCATCATGTCGGACAAAAACAACGCTGTACGATGCTCCATCTTCTTGTTTCTCCAAAATGCCCAGCAGCAGTTGTAGACACTTCTGACGTCTGACACCGACCTGCTGTTGTTGTTGACGGTTGGATGGGGTCGGAAACAGCGCCGCTGAAAAGACCCATATCGCCCCCTAGTGTTGGGGAGGAGGACACGTTCACGTCAATAATTCCATTTTCTCAGCTGCATGTAAACGAGGACAAAGAGAGACTTAATCAGCTTTTTTTTCATTGGATAAAACTTTACGATCAGATTATCTCCTTCTGAGAACGACGGTGTCTCAGTCCAGTATATACGGTGCATCCCTAACATATGATCATTGACAGCACTTTACAGTTAAAAGGGAATAACTGTGTGGAGATGATTGAAACTGTGAAATAACTCCGTCTTATATCTGTTTTTGTTGTCCCACCTCCCGACTTGCCGACGTGAAGAGGAGGAAGGTAAAAACGACCACATGGATCTAAGACTTCTGTCCATCGCACTAATTTGTCAGCTACCTGATTTCATGCTTAAGTTGAAATGTTTGACTCTATGCAGGATATCTCTACGTTCTTACAGATCTAGGTTAAGACGTACTTTGATGAAACCTCTGCTGTTCTGTGGGTAAAAATGTTAATTTATAGATTTTAGAGTTTAAGAGTTTCTAGAGTGTCTTTACTGTCGCTGTCGGCTCTTCCAGTTTAATAGGACGATTATTCTCTCCAAAGCTAACCGGCTAAAACGCAGCTGTCAGTCAAACATTTCAAGTTAAGGGTGACCTTCACCGACTGAGTGATGTCTTGAATCACATGGTGGAGAAAATACTGTGGAGGAGCTTCTGCAGATACTTTCTCGACATGTGACATGGTTACATCGTCATCTGTAAATGTCAAACATCAGCGCGATCGTCATCGACCTCATCCACACAGCGGCCATATTTACACCCGTGGAGGAGGGAAACGACCTGGAGGTTTGAACGATAGTTTCGCTTTTAATCGACCAGTAAAGAAAATGTTCACGGTAACGGTACGGAGGCAGACTGGGGATGTTTTTGTCCCTCAAACTTGAATGTTACCCTGACGACGAGTCAAGAGTAAAACGTTGAATCGAAAAATCTCCAGGTGGTCGACCTCCTCAGCGGTTCTATACGCCCTCTGTGTGAAAGGTCGGATGACTTCCTCTCATCATGGTCATCATCATCATGTGTTTCTCTCTCTCTCCAGCAGCTCTGTCCCTCGCTCACCCATCATCCATCCTCTCTGTAACTGCAGTAATCTTCTCTCACTGTTGGTTTCTAATGGCTCTGTCATGTCTGTGGTCTTCATTAACGGCCTCTCCAACACCCTCCCTCTTCCCGGCGGTTTGGTGCATGCTGCGTGTCCGTAGCCCAGGAGGAGCTAGTAGAAGTAGAAGTAGCCCCTGAGGCGGAGACCAAGGTAGAGGCAGAGCCTGAGGTAGAGCCTGAACCAGAACCAGAGCCAGAACCAGAACCTGAACCAGAACCTGAGCCAGAGGTGGAGGAGGAGGAGGAGGTGGTTCAAGAGGAGGTTGAAGGTACGTGGCATGGGCACTGCGTTCATCCTTCTCCACGAAGACATTCAGCTGTTCTCAGTACGCCAGACAGGCCCGTCAACACCAACACGCCGCAAAACAAACCGAAGACGAGGAGGACAAGTCCAGTTTTAATTCTGTTCTGATCCGAAGAAAGCCCGTCTAAATATTGGATCAAAAACAACTCCTGTAGAAGCTAACAAACGTGTTTGAAAAGTTCGTGAGTTCTTCACGTCGTAGCTCGAGACTTCGCTAACAGTAAATATCGAACAAACCTGCTTTTACTCCCCAGATCATGTCATAAAAAGATTCGTCAACCTCTTGATTTAGTTTTGTTAATCCAAGCTCAACAAAAACAACGCCCTGAGATAACTTAGTCGCTAGCGTTCACCATCTGTAGATAACAAAGTTCTCCTGATTGGATGAATCTCGTCATGACCAGAACAGCTCCTCCAAAAACAGAGAATATCTTTATTTTCTCCGCAAACTAACTTTGGTTATTCAGGAGCCCAAAGTAAGAATTTCCAATTTAACAGGTGACCACTGTCATTTTTTAATAATCCCCTAATTTACCTCCTTATTGGCGTAAATCATATCAAACTCATTCATGCTCCCAAGAGGTCGAACCGTTTCTGTTTAGGACCCTTTAAAGCGAGATAAGCCCAGTTTTCCTTCACTGTCCTTCTCTAAACGGGTTTTAAAGTTTATAGCCCTAGAAATAAGAAAACTAGATACTGAAGAACGACACTATCAGATCGGTGTATTGCCCCTTTATTCTCAGTCTAGTTTGCATGCACACCTGCAGCATCAACGTCGGGACACGTCCATACTCCCCATCATCAACGCCGACACCTCTCCAACACACATTGACTTGGTAGATGAGCCTGGCATGATAAAGTCGGTGTGTGTTGCACTTTAGACCGGTTCTCCTGAAGAACTCTAAAGTGCCTGATGGTGTTTGTGGGTCTCCTGATGGAGCCGCTGAACACCTGACTTTAGTTTTCAGAGTGCACTGTAGTAGTCCACATGTGAGCTTTGCTTCATGAAAGGTCCACGGTTATCACATCTCCATCAGTGTCAGCTGACATGTCCAAACATTCGGTCCTGGTACCGCTCAGATGTGTGTTCTGATGTTGAGCTGTGCATTTCACTGTTGGAAGGGAGGAAAAGAAAACCAGCTGACTTTTACATGAATAAACTATCCCACATGATCATCTGCTGCCTTCAACACGTTTGCTTCTTTCACACTCTTGTTTCCATCGATGACACTTTGACAAACCGTTGTGTTTTGGTTTTGAAGGCCGATGCACTTCAGATGTCGGGTAGTTTCACTCATGTAAAAGCTTTTTTTTTTGCCTCCCTTCATTTCATGTTTAGTTTCTTTCTTTCTATGCTTAGATAAATTGTGATATCGGCAAACTGCTCTCAAACATTTACATTGGGGTGTTTTGATGCTGAGCTTTCATCGTCTCTATTTCAGTTTGAGTGAATGAGATGGAGACGCTGCAGAAGTCCCAGGCTTGACTTGAAGCTTATGCTGGTCTCAAAAAGACCGAGTCAACAATTCAGATTTATCACGACACATGTTTACTCATTTATTTACATTTAAATCAAGGAAAAGTCGAACTCTTTGGATTCTAATATAGAGACCCCGACCTAGGCCCCGTTTATAGGTACACGGTTATTTTTAAAAACGGAGACATTAACCATCGTTTGCACCCTTTGTTTAGACGCAAACAGAGAATTCGTCCCTGAAAACGATATTTTTTAAAAACTTTAGCCAAACTGAGATTTGGGTAATCGACGGCAGATTATGTGCCGGAAAGAAGGAAGTGACATTGTTGTTGTTGCTGCGGGATCGATTGGCTAACATGGGCTTGAGCTCCTCGCTACACTGCCACCTACAGGTTTGGCATATTCTTGACAGCATATATACACGGGTTAGTGTAAACAAAAACTTCTCTGAAAATGTAGTGGTGTGCACGCAGTTTTTCTGTTAACTGAGAGGGTGAAACGTCTGTTTATGAAAATAGGCACATGTAAACGGAGTCTTCATCTTCCACTGAGCTGCCTGTTGTCGTCCTTCAGTCGTATTTGTTCACCTCTCTAAAGGAGAAAGAAAGAAGGATGTACTCAGGATCTCTGTTTATCAATACATAGTTTTATTTTTATTCCACATTTCCTAAAAGAGGCGGTAGTCCAACTGTCGTAAATCCTCTTTGATAAGTAGTGATAGATTTCTTAGTAAAATTCGTCCATGTTTTCTCCAAAGAACTTCAGTCCCATGAAACATAATCCAGTGAAAGCCGCTTCCGTGATGTCCAGACCAACCACAATCTTCTACGTCCTCCGAACCAACTTTCAGCCAATCATATAACAGGATGTCATCAATAGGCGCCGCCCCCCGAGCCGACCTGGTACCTACACATCTCCACAGTGTTTTCAAAGGAGACTCCTGGTCATTCAGGACTTCATATCCTATTATATCCACGGGGTACGGTCAGCTGACTCATTTCAGCTCATAAGTACATTAGAGTATCGTCTGCATAACAATGTAATATATAGTGCTTCGATATGAAATGACCACAGAGAGACAAAGGGGTTTTATACAACTGTGCATGTTTAGAGATCATAAAGACTAAGGTTAACCTCTGAGCTCTGATTTACTCAAAATAAGAACAGGAGCGATGTTACGTTAGTGTCAGTAAACATGAAAACGTGAAAGTCATGTGACCAGACGAGAAGTTTAAAGTCGCAGGATTATTCCGAGGAATGCTTCATGGACTTCTGCAGCGTTTGCCATGATCTGAAAATTCCTAATTTGAAGAAAAAGAAAAACCCCAACCTGGTAAATGTGCTTCATAAGCTGTGCTCCATAAAGAGGACAGGACCGAGCCGCCCCGTCCCACCTCTAATGATCTCTGTTCTGCTCTTGCTTTGGACGCTTGCTGCATGCAGACGCCTATGAAGAGGAAGGTATGTCCACTTGTCTTCTCTATTCTTCTTCTGATTTGGACCTGTGTCTGTTGTCCTGTAGACCGGGGACTCTGGGTTCACATCTTTGTCACATATTTGAATGATTCAGCATACTGTTGCTTTTCGCACTGATCTCCCTGTAGAGAAAGGCAGAATTCAATGTTTGCTTTAGTCTCTGCGATCCAACAGAGACCAGGACCAGGACCAGGGTGCAGGTTTCAAAGCTGCTGCTGCTGCTGAGTCCTGCTGGTCACAGGCCCCCCCATCGCTCATCTCTGCTTCTTCTCTTTTTTGCATGAATGTGTCCTGCCAGTGGACGAGGGAGATCAAGATGGTAGTTTGTATTTCCTGCTGAGTCGCTGTTGCTTTGCCTGCGTTTTTCTCCTCCCGTGTTGTCCGTGTTTTTATTTTCCTGTGAAGGTCCAATAATCAAAGCTAATCACAGAGTTGGTGATTTACGTATGTGTCAAACTCCCGGCTGTGTGAAATGACCATTCACACCGATTAACAGTAATTCTGCCGTCACACTCTCCCTGTTGTTGTGTCCTGAAGTCTGTTCAGAAACGTTCGACACAGTTCATGTGATTTATGACAAACCGTACTGATAATAAATCCTCCTTTGTTCTGATTTACTCACTAATACACAAGAATTAACAACGTTTACTAGAGAGACGTGTTAGGGTACAATATTTACTGACTGCACCTGAGATCAGAAAGACCCCCCTCCCCTCGGTGAAACAAAGTTTGGCCTTTTTAAGACTCACCTAAATGACGTCTGTGAACCAACCTGCAGCCCTCAGGTGTGACTCACTCTGTCCAAACGGATCCCCTCCCCATTAACCAGCAGACTTAAAGGGATATTCCGGCGTAAAATTAATTTAAGGTCAAACCCACCGTAACACCGAGTTAGACCCCCCCTCCAGAGATGAATGTTGTCGACCGCTTGCTTCTCTAGTTATACCAACTTTAGTAACGACCGCAGGATAGAAATACAGAGAGCCACGCCCTCAACCAAAACGCCACTCTATAGCCACAAATAATGCTCAGAACAGCACCTAACTTCATCAACAGGACATATAGGGTCACAGACATAGTACTATATTCAGAGTTGTTCTAACTCCTAAGAAAACATAAACTTAAGTGGGGGCGTTTCTCCACCTCTGTAGTCTATAAGCTGGGCCAATAAACTTCTACTGTAGTAAAATAAAAAGGTAAAGGTGTTTTTATTGAGCCGAATTATCAATAAAATCATGATTTTGTTAACAGGTATGGATATATGTGCTGTCGAGTTAATATATTTGAACAAGAGCACAGTAAAGTTAAATCAGATAATTTTCCAATGAGGTTCTGTTACTGAACAAAACTACACCATGTTCTACTGAGGTTAGTACATATAGGGTCACAGCCATAGTACTAGACACCAAACATCTTTTTAACTTTGACTCATTTCTTTAGCAAAGAGACTAAACACAACTCACCTACTCTCTTCCAGCAGACGCTTGTTTGTAGGGAGACCTCAGGCCAGTCCATTACAGACTACAGCGGGGTGAAGCAGCTCAAGGAAGAACATTTACGATCATTTCTTTATCATTTCCTTGAAGTAATAATCATCATATTAATCATTTTACAGACGCGGTAGTTCTTCTGTCTCAGCGTCTCGGTCTGATTGTATTTCCATGAAGAAATGATCATAAATGTTCTTCCTTGAGCTGCGAAACTTTGCTGCTCTCGGTGATCGACTCGTCAGGGCTCCCCTACAAACAAGCGTCTGCTGGAAGAGAGTAGGTGAGTTGTGTTTAGTCTCTTTGCTAAAGAAATGAGTCAAAGTTAAAAAGATGTTTGGTGTCAAGTACTATGTCTGTGACCCTATATGTACTAACCTCAGTAGATCATGGTGTAGTTCCGTTCAGTAACAGAACCTCATTGGAAAATTAGCTGATTTAACTTTACTGTGCTCTTGTTCAAATATATTAACTCGACAGCACATAAATCTATACCTGTTAACAAAATCATAATTTTATTGATAATTCGGCTCAATAAAAACACCTTTACCTTTTCATTTTACTACAGTAGAAGTTTATTGGCCCAGCTTATAGACTACAGAGGTGGAGAAACGCCCCCACTTAAGTTTATGTTTTCTTAGGAGTCAGAACAACTTTAAATATAGTACTATGTCTGTGACCCTATATGTCCTGTTGATGAAGTCAGGTGCTGTTCTGAGCATTATTTGTGGCTATAGAGTGGCGTTTTGGTTGAGGTTTGTTTATGGCTCCTCAGACCGCTGTGTATTGCTATCCTGCGGTCGTTACTCGGCAACATTCATCTCTGGAGGGGGGGTCTAACTCGGTGTTATGGTGGGTTTGACCCTGAATTAATTTATGTCAGAATATCCCTTTAAACCCTCGTCTGTCACGGCGGTGTTTCTAACTGCTTCCTCTCTTTCTTCTTCTCTCCTCTCTCCTCGGTGGACGCTGACGCTCAGAGGAGAAGCCAAAGTTCAAGTGAGTGTTTCTCTCGTCTCTCTGTTTGCGTCTGAACTTCGACTCCTCAGAGATTTGCAGTTTTAATTTAAAGATGATTTCCGTCCACAGACCCTCTGCTCCAAAGATCCCTGATGGTGAGAAAGTGGACTTTGATGTAAGTCAAATTTACTCCGATCTGGATTTACATAGACTCCTTTAAAGTCAGAGATCATGTTGAATAAACTGGTGTGAAGTTGGCTGTCTGAAAGACACTCACTTTCAGTCAACATACCTGCCCAGTGCCCAGAAACGAAGCAAAGGTCACTCCAGGTCACTGACCTTTACTCTCTCCATCATGAAATCACATTTTCAGACTTTAGTTCATCTCTGGATGAAACGGATGGATTAGGATGAAAACACAGAGGAAATATGAACTTATTTGGCTGCATCATAAATAATTGTTAATGTTAATTTCTTACTTATTAGACTGATGACAGATATATGGGTCTGTTAAAAGAAAACCTTTTGCATCAGTCTGATTGAATCTGGACTTTAAAAACACATGAACATATAACTCTGATTGAAAATGTTCTAAATCAAACTTACATACCAGGATAACTGGGCGTAGAGTTTTACCATCATGTCTGCACTCTTCGATCTGACTGAAACCAGACTCAACGTACCGCACACTCTCTCTCCTGGTTACACGACCCTGAAGTCAAAAAACAGGAAGATAAAACCTCAACAGACGAAGACGAAGGACATGAAAACGATGAAACTGTAACAGCGTGTAAATGAAGGAGACGAGAGTCTGATAATGACCGTGTTTACACTGTTTAACGTACTTCCTGTTTGCAGCTCGCTAACGTGACTTTAGGTCAACCAGGAGACGAGTGGAGGAAGACATGCTCCTGGTGATAACTGGATTCTTGCTCAGTGCTTGTAAACAGGGACAAAGACAGTAGTTTAGTTAAATCAGCTGATCGAGGTGAATCATGACCTACTTAGATAAATACAGAGGAGAGAATCATAACAAACACGGCTGAGGTAGAGAGGTGAACTAACTCAGAGTGAGTCTGAGGGTTTACACCTCTGTCTGACAGAGCTCTGATGTTCTGGATCCTTCTGATGTTTCTGTTTTTGGACCTCTCCTACAGGACATCCAAAAGAAACGTCAGAACAAAGACCTGATCGAGCTGCAGTCTCTGATCGACGCTCACTTTGAGTGCAGGAAGAAGGAGGAGGAGGAGCTCATCGCTCTCAAAGAAAGAATCGTGAGATTTTCACACACGGACCGTCTGATCGTCCTACAGCGTTATTTTAAAGAGTCGCTCCACAGATCTACTTTCTCATATTTATTCCTCTGATCGTCCTGATTATCTATCTTTTGTAAATGAACACCAAAGTCGTGTTTTGACATTTACTTTGTTTGGCGGTTCGTTTCAAAGGTTGTCACTGAAGAAATACGACAGACTGCAGGAGTAACCCTCAGCGTCATTTTCTGATTCTGATTTTCAGGAGAAGCGTCGTGCAGAGAGAGCCGAGCAGCAGAGGATCCGGGCCGAGAAGGACAAGGAGCGACAGGCCAGGCGGGAGGTGAACTGTCTCCGTTTTTTAACTTTATTTATTTCTGTGATCTGAGCAGTTCACACAAAAAGAAAAACACCTGTTTTTTAAAACGCCTGATTTAGAAATATGAACTTTTTTACTGTTTTTCTTTCAGGCTGAGCGTATCAGAAAGGAGGAGGCCGACGCTCACAGGAAGTACGAGGATGAGGCCAAGAAGAAGATCGCTCTGAGCAGCATGGGTTCAGGCTACAGCAGCAGCCTGCAGAGGGTAGATACAGTTTCTTTTTAGTTTTTCTGTCTAAATTTGAAGGTTTTTCGATCTAAAGTTGAATCTAAGTGAAGGTTTGTTTTTGTAGATCGAGGCGAAGAGGGGCAAGAAGCAGACCGAGAGAGAAAAGAAGAAGAAGACACTGGCAGAGAGATGCAAACCCCTCAACATCGACAACTTCTCAGAAGACAATCTGAGGTAATCCACAGAGGAGACGCAGAGAATTATTATTATATTATTATTATATTAAAGGCCCTCTGCTGAAACACCTCATAATAAACATTAGTTAGTAAAGGCTGTTATAAACGCTTATTATTATTACTTGTAAAAGTTGTTATAAAGATTTAAAACTGCATTTAAAAGGTTTAATAAATGTGCTTTTTATACGTTTTAAATAATAATAAATAATAAATAAATAATAATAAATAATAAATAATAATAAATAATAAATAAATTATAATAAATAATAATAAATGCTGAAAAACAATAAAAATGTCACCAAAAAGTTTAGAGTAAAAAATAATTGGATCAAAGTCTCACGTGATTATAAAGATTTTAGTTTATTTTACTGTCAAATACATGATTTTGGCACCAAGAGGAAACTTTTAACCAGAACTTTCTTTAGTTCTGTGGGAAAATGGATCAATTCAGGAGAAAATATCAGAATATTTGAGGTTTAAAGAGACTTCTTAAACATTTGACTGTTTTTTTTTATTCATCAGTCTTTGAACTTTTACATGCCAGACGCAAAAATAAACAAATAAATCAATCATAGAACAAATATTTCAGTTTATCTGTCTGTGACACTGAGAGGTTTTAATAATGATCGTTACTTTTATACTGAAGTGATTGATTTTTAACTTAAACTCCTCTGATCGAACTTTGACAGAAACAAAGTCAGAGAAGTTGAGACATGGTCACCACGAGTTCAGCAGAAACATGAACTCTTCAGCAGCTTTTTCACGGAGCGTTTTTGTTTCTGTTTTTGTGTTTCTCAGGGAAAAGGCGAACGAGCTGTGGGAGCTGCTGCGCAACCTGGAGGAGATCAAATACGACCACTGTGAGGCGCTCAAGAGACAGAGATATGAGGTCAGTGAGGGAGTCATCAGCAGACAAACACTCATCCACCTCTAATCTTATTTTTTTAATACCACATCAAATGTTCCTTAAATATTTTTACATGAACATGATTTAAAAACCCTGGATGTGCTCACAGCTGGAGTTTGTGTTTCAGGTCGTCTCTCTGAGGAATCGTATCGATGAGCTGCAGAAACAGTAAGAACCTCCATGATGATTAAAAAAAACTCTTAATTCATCAAACAGACATTCAGACCTCCTCCCCGTGTGCAGATCTGATTCTGTTTTGCTCTTTGCGCCCTGCAGCAGCAAGAAGGGAGCCGCCAGCCGCCGCAGAAAGTGAGCGGCGCCCTGAGAGTGAGGGTCGGCCCCGGGGAGGAGGAGTTAACCCGGCGGTGACTTCATCTCCCAGCAGCCTCAGAGGAAAAACACCAGCCTGTGTCTGAGCGAGTGAAAAGGTTTTCTGTTTGAACTGATCTTCAATAAAGTCATTTAAAAAATGTACTTTGAGTTTGTTTAAGAGGAATCAGACAATAAAGAGGAAGACTGTCAGAACGTGTTTCTTTATAAAGTGTTTATATTCATATAAATCATTTTAAAACTCTGAAAAGTAAGAATGACCTCCGTCTAACTCCAACACTGAGCTTTAAAATCCCGTCAGTGTTCAGCTCTTCCTGATTCCTGTTTCACACTCTGTCTTTCATCAAAGTTACATCAGTAAGAATGAATCATCAGACAGAAGCTAAACTTACATTTCTGTCTCATTTATTGCACAACAGCGGACTTTCTGAGGCTTTCAAAACAAACACCTCTACCCTATCTTTGGGTTACTAACATGGACTGTGTATATAATCTATGGTTACTGATCAGTTAGACATTTATACTCAATAACTAATAACTTCAACTGTTTTCAATCACAGTCACAACTTTCCATCTGCATGAAGAAGCTTTTACTTCAAAATAAAAGCATGGCTTGAAATGAAGCGACATAAACACAAAACATTAAATAAATAATATCAGATTTTTACCTCCAAATAATGTGGCTATAAAATACTTTTATTTATATCAATGGGAAAAAAAACAGTCAAAGCTGCTCAGTAAGTAAGTGTGGAGCAACAAGATATTTATGTCCATGAATATTGCAGTCCTTAAATCTTGCTAATAGACACAGTAAACTTGAATATTATCATCCATAAATAATCATGTTCACATCTACGATTCATCCACACTGATACTTCCTCCGTCTTTGTCTTGTACTTTGGTTGTTGTATTTCCTCTATCATAAATCTGTGCTTTTATTTTGGAGGGTCAGCTTCTTCCAACACTTTGTAAATCATTGAACTGAATTAAAACCATAGACCGTATCTAGAATAGACGCCGTCTGCCTCCTCGCTCTGAGAACAGCGCCCTCTGGTGACGGGCTGCAGTTTAGGTCATTAACTCCGCCTCCTTATGGAGCTGTGGACAAACTTTATAAATGAATGACACAGAATATAAATGTTTCTCCCCCCTGGTTGTGATGTTGACATGTAGTTACTGTCAGACTGGTTTGTGTTCAAGTCCTCTTTTTTCTGTACAGCTCCATTTTTAAAAGTCACAACAGATGCAAAACGTTTACTGATGGAAAAAAAAAAAAGAAACCGAAGCCGGCTGCAAATTAAAAAAAAGAAACGGCACAAAAAACAAAAAAAACAAAGCCACAACGGGAGATAATGATGCAAAAAAAAGTGGCGACACTAAAAAGAAAATTACTTACTGCAAAAAGAAAAAGATGCAAAAAAGAAAAGCCACGATGGAAGTGAGCTGCTGGGGACCAATAATGATGATGCACCATAATGTTTTACGATCTAGACGTAGAAAACGACGGCGAGAAGACGAACAAAGAAGGAAGTGGAAAGGTTATTGTGTGTCATGTGGTTAGACCATGTAGCACCTGAGTCCATATGAAGTTAAACTGAAGCTAACACGACACCGACATTGTTTTATTTTCGCAGTAAGTAACTTTTTTTTTTTGCGTCGTTAACTTCCGTTGCAGCTTTTTTTAAATATCCGCACCGTTTCTTTTTTTATTTGCAGCGAGCTTCAGTCTCTTTCTTTTTTTTTTTTTCCATTCTTTTTTTATTTGCAGCAGTGGCTGTTTTCAGCCACCGTACCAACCAAACCACAAGGAAACTACAGGAGGTGAATTGAAGAGCTGAGGTTGATGTACTCAGGAGAGGAGACAAAGTAAGAAGATATAAATATTTATTAAAATTTAATTCACTCATAAATAATAAGAAAACACATCAATCCCAGCATCCTTTGTGTGTGAACAGCTCGTATTTACAAATGTACAAAATGGTCCTCAGTCCGAGTGTCTGCGGCTGAAACTGACGGAGATCATGGAAGCAGCAGTCTGAAGAGAACGGACTCGACTTTAGGGGAACGTCTTTCTGAGTTCAATGTCCACAGCTCTGTTCAGAGCGGCTCGTAGATACTGCTCGGACTGGAGCCTGTAGGGCTGGTTAGAGGAGATCCGGGGCCCAGGGGGACCACGCTGTCGCCCTGGGGGGCCACCGCTGGATCTGTGCTGATCCGCTCTACGATGCTGGACAAACAGTCCAAACTGGAAATGAGCGACTGTTTACAGGAAGCTGTAAGAGAAGAAGAGGAAACGTAAGTGTTTGAAGAGGCTGTGATCATTTAAAGACGTTTCTCTCTGCTTTTTATTTAGAGTTATTTACGGTGTTAATATTGACTTTAAACCCAGATTTGAAAACACTTTAGTTCAACTGCAGCTGTTTTTTTCAACATGATTCAGATAAATTCTGACGTTGAGTTTCAGTATTAGTAAATCCTGTCAGTGAGTCAGCCGTGTTTATCAGTGAAATTTGTGACGAGGAGCTCCGCCCTTCTCCAGCTTTTTTTCAATCTCACTTGAAGCTCCTGGGAGTTTTTTTTTACACTTATGAAACAGAAATTTTTGTGTTTTTGTGAATTAAAAAATAAACAAGACCGTCAGGAACAAGACGTTTGATTTTAAGACCTGAAATAAATGATTCAGCAGGATGAAACTTTAGTACAAAGACTATCTTAAAGCAGAATAAGTGAAGATAAGCGAAGACATCTTTGTCCTCAGGGGGGCGCCAACACTGACACTAACCTAAAGTTACTCACAGGAGCTTTAAGTGTTACAAAAACAGATTATAATTGGTGTAGATTTTGAGATCAGAACCTCTAATCTCATTCTTGAGTTTCTGAAAAGCTAAATGTGTCGGTCATCATCATCATCATCATCATCATCAGTCTGTGGTCAGACGTTGTTATTCACTTCTTTATACTGATGGTCGTATTGAGGCGTCAATATCAAAATCAGTCGGTTTCATAACCCGTTAAAAAGTCCTCCCAGGAGCTTTAGGAGATGATTCATGGTCTTATGAAAAGAGTCTGCCCTGCCTGATGTAGAAATACGTATGAAGGAGTGACTGTGAGAAACTGACCGTCTGTGCGGCTGCAGAAGGAGCTGTTTTCACTTTTGGTCGAACACGAAGAGATGAAATCCATCTGTAAGCAAACGGAGATACAGACAAGTTCAGACAACAGAGAAAACAAGGATGGAGAAAACAGAGAAACTTAAAACTGAAACGATGGACACATCAGGCTTTTATGAGGAGGTCGCCTGAGCTGATTTTAGCAAAATAAAGAAACAAAACTGAAGTCAAAGCTGTAATATGGTCGGTAACGTTCATAACCAGTTATTCAAGACTTCTTCTTCCAACAAACATCCCCAAAACATCGGAGCTGAAGACATCGATTCAATCGAAGAATAACTCCATGGGGACAATAAAGTCAAAGTCTAAAATTAATTCACCTTCATGTTGAGCAGTTTTCACAAATGCTCTGACAGTGAAAGTGTGGAGGTCGTACATGAGTCTCAGTTTCACAGTAAAACACTGAAGAGACCCTCAGAACAGATGATTTTCAGTGAAACGACCCTCTCAGCTGTTCTCCACTCACCGTGCCGTCAGAGCAGTTGGACCGGGGGCTGGAGGCGTCAGAGTCCCCGCTGTAGTGCTCCAGCGGCGGGTAGAAGCTGTCGTCCCGGCCCGTCCTCAGCAGCGCCTGCAGGGACTCGATGTAGCTGATGGCGTTCCTCAGGATCTCCACTTTGGGCAGACGCTGGTTGGGGTTGGACGCCGTGCAGCGCTTTAAGGTCTCAAAGGCGTCGTTCACCTTACTGAGCCGCCGCCTCTCCCTCATGGTCGCCGCTTTCCTCCGGTCTGCGTGAGTTGTCTTTCTCTTGCAGGCTTTGCAGGCCCAGAGCAGACAGTGTCCCGCCTGGTGGAGGCCCCCGGGGGCCCGCACATGCTCGTCCTCCTCCTCTGTGTTTGGAACATGATGAAGATGGAGATGGTCCTCTGACTTCAGCAGGCCGGCGTGAATCAGCCGAGCATCCAGGTCGTCGAAGAGGTTCATGTCGCTGGTGCTGAAGCAGGGGTCATCGTAGAGGTCATCGGCTGAGGAGAGCGTGAAGGGGAGGTCGGACAGATCCATCGCTCCTGCAGGAACCCTTCAAGACGACCACAAGACCAGGAGGAGAGGAGACGCCGAACTCCTCGACTGACTCGACAAGAGAAAAAAACAGACTGACTTTAGAGGAGAGCGCCAAGATCTGCAGAACCGTCTCCTGTCAGAGTCAGCTGACCTGAAGAGAGGAGCGGAGAGGAGAGAGTTTAAAGGAGCAGTCCGTGAAACTTCAGCTCCCTCTGCTCCCTCTGAGTCTTTTATAAGGAGTCACTGAGGGGGCGGGGCCGAGCTGTCAGTGACCAATGGTCTGAGGGGTGTGTGTCAGTGTGTGTGTGTGTGTGTGTGTGTGTGTGTGTGTGTGTGTGTGTGTGTTAGGGGGGTCATTGAGGTGAAACTCAGACACAAAAAGGAAGCAATAAAAAAGCAGTTAAACTCATTTAATCCGATCATTCAGGCCTGAGGGGGGCGCTCTCATCACTGACTGTTCAGATTTTAATATAAATCACTTTTATTTTTATTTTTTCTTTAATTTTGTTCCTCAAAATCGACTCTTGCTGCCAGGGTTGACTTTCTTTTTCTCTTTTTTCTTTTTTGTACATTTTTCCAACAAACAAACGTCTGGTGCTCTAGTTTTATTACTGCAGATTAATCTGTATTTTTTAATTTATTAATTTTTTAGATTTATTTCTTATGTTATTTTTTTTCACAAAGATGCAAACTAACATTTATTACAGAAAAATAAACAGTGTTTAGTTAGAAATTTTCCTTAAATTTACCCAGAATAAAGTTTTGCATGAGTAGGAGCACATGAAGTAAAATAATAATAAGAAAAAACAACATTTTTGTTCTTTTTAACACACTTAAAACTTTACTTTGATTCGTTAAATAATCAGGGAGAACTCCTGAAGACCTGCAGAAGAACTTTGTGTGTCTGTTTTTGACAAACCAAACTGATTAAATTGTCTTTATCGCCAGTCTGGACCTCCATACATGTTAGAGTTTCTGATGTTTTCAGATGTTTGACAGATTTTCACAACATCGTAAAGATTAATCTCAGACTGTGTCCCAGTTTTGATTCTGAAGTCGGATTTCTTGAATTTGTGATTTAATGAAGTTTTCAGAGAAACTGAGAAACTGAGTAATAAAGCTTCAGTCTGCCGTCCTGCTGAGAGGGTCACAAGGTCACACAGGTGTCAGCCTCAACCCCCCCATATATTCAGAGTGTGTGTGTGTGTGTGTGTGTGTGTGTATGTGTGTGTGTGTGTGTGTGTGTGTGTGTGTGTGTGTGTGTGTGTGTGTGTAGAGAGAGAAAGAGAAATCAGAGAGCGATCGTCACTGGAAAACACTTTAACTGGTGTGAACATCAAATCCTCTCACTCTCACTCTGGGTTTCATTCACAGACTGTTTTTACTCGTCTGTATTAAATCTGTGCTCAGCTGTGACGTGTGCACAAGGTCACGTGATCCATCGTCACAATTAAAGCACTTCAGTAGTAAAGCAGAATTTATAGCTCATGTAGAAGCAGAAACACGTTTCATGATTTCAAACAAGTGAGGCAAGTTTGTCATTTATCTATAATTATTTACACCCTTGTAAACAGAAAAGTGATTCAAAATGTTTTCCACGAGGTATTGAAGAAATCTTTATAAACGTCTGAAACATTTAAAAGGTCATAAACAGGAGGGATGGAAGACAAACTGTTGATAATGAAAGAGGGGAGCAGCTGTGATAAAAGGAGAGTCTTCAGTTTTAAAGAACTGAGACCGATGGCCGAGTGGACACCTTCACACTCTATATACAGTAAATACAGTACAGTAATATATACAGCATAAACAGTACATTATATAATATATAGGTGAAAATAGATAAATGAATAAATGTTTGTTGTTTTGAATCAAAATACATGAAATAATCTTCAATAATATGTTTTTTTTTTCCTTTTTTGTTTAAATCACTGATTTGTTTATTGATTCACTAATTTGTTTGTTGAATCACTGATTTGTTTATTGATTCACTGATTTGTTTGTTAAATTACTGATTTGTTCACTCTCCCCCTGTCTTTATTTGTTGGTCTGTGGTTGTGTGTGTAGTTGATTTGTTGTCTCACAGTGTTTGTATTTAAAGTTCCTGTTAAACTGTTGGATGTTGAGTTTGTATTTTCTCTCTTTTAGATATAAAATTAAGTTTTTGGTGTGTGTGTAGTATTGTTTCCTGTTTGTTTGTGAGTATTTGTTGTTGTTCAGAGATGTCTGTCTCCATTTAAATTATTTCACATTTTATTCTTTTCTGTGATTTATTTGTTCCCTGCTGTTGTCGTATTTCTAATCTTTTTGTGAGTGTTTGTCATCTCACATTCATGTTGTGGTGATCTTGTTGTGTATTGTGTGTACTGGTGTTGTTGTAAATGTGAGGTTTCTCACAGCTCTCAAGGTTTAAAGCGAGGCGGACGACAGCGGACCGCTCACAGCTTCATGGAGGCAGCAGGTTAAATTTAGCAGCTTGTGAAATCTTAGACCGCTGCCCTTTAAACTGAGTCTTCACACACACACACACACACACACACACACACACACACACACACACACACACACACACACACACACACACACACACACACACACACACACACACACACTCCTCTCTGCAGGATTCATTCAAATGCACACGATAACATGAAGCTGACAGCATCAGAATGAAAGCTGCAGTTTAGAAGTCAATCAGTCAGCAGGTTTTCAGTTTATCAGACCCTGTTAATGTGGGATTAACATACAGTATGATAAAAATGTCATAGAAGAGTAGGAAAAAATATATTACAGCATTAAAAAAATCATAGTATCCTATTGTGACAAAAACAAAGTCAAGTATACTAAAAATGTCATAGTATAGTATGATTAAAAAAATCATAATAAACTATTATAAAAAAAATATAGTGCGATAAGAATTTTACAGTATTGTATGTTAAAAATATCATAGTACAGTATAACAAAATGTCATAGTAGAGTATGTAAAAAATGTCATGGTTAAGTATGATTTAAAAGTCATAGTCTAGTATGTTAATAAAGTCATGGTTAAGTATGTTAAAAATGTTATAGTATGTTAAAAATACAGTATAATATGTTAAAAGATTGTCATATAATAATGTAATCAAAAATGTCATAGTATAGTATGCTCAAAAAACAAAATAGCACATCACATAAAAAATTCATAGTACAGTATGATAAAAATGTCATAGTATATTATAATTAAAATGACATAGTATAATTAAAATGTCATATTATAGTATGTTAAAAAAGTCACAGTTGACTGTGATAAAAATTGTCATAATATAGTATGTGATTGGATGATAAAAAATGTCATAGTATGGCATGTTCAAAAATGTCATGGTATGGTATGATAAAAATGATATAAGATAGTGTGACAAAAATGTCATAATAAAGTATGTAAAAAAAAAAAGTCATACTATAGTATGATAAAAATAATGTCATAGTATAGTATGTTAAAAATGTCATTGTATTGAATAAATAAAATGTCATAGTATAGTACAAATAAAATGTCAAAGTTAGGTATGACTAGAATGACATAGTATAGTCTGATAAAAAATGTCATTGTAATGTATGTTAAAAAAGGATAGAATGATAAAAAATGATAGAAAATGTCAAAGAATATTATTATTATAATGGCATAGTATAGTATGATAAAAATTTCATAGTATGTAATAATAAAAAATGTCTAAGTATAGTGTAATAAAAATTTCATAATATGGTATGATAAAAAATGTCATAGTTTAGCATGTTAAAAAATGTCATGGTCTGGTATGATAAAAGTGACATAAGGTTGTATGACAAAAAGTGTAAGACTATAGTATGTAAAAAAAAAAAAAAGTCATACTAAAGTATGTTGAAAAAAATGTCATAGTATAGTATGTTAAAAATGAACTAGTATACTATGATCAAAATGTCAAAGTTTAGTATGATAAAAATTTAATGGTATGGTATAACAAAAAATGTCATGGTGTGGCATGATAAAGATGGTATGTTAGATAGTATGACAAAGATGTCATAGTATAGTATGTTAAAAAAAATTCATTCCAAAGTATGAAAAAAAAATGTCATAGTATAGTATGTTAAAAAAAAGTCACAGTTTACTGTTATAAAAATGTCAGAGTATAGTATGATAAAAATTAAATAGTATGGTATAATAAAAAATGTCATAGTATAGTATGTTCAAAAATGTCATGGTGTGGCATGATAAAAATTACATAGTATAGTATGTTAAAAAGAAGTCACAGTTCACTATAATAAAAATGTCATAGTACAGTTTGATTAAAACAACATAGTATACTATGATAAAAAAATATAGTTCCATAAAAACTTCAATGTATAGTATGATAAAAATAAAGTTTGATTAAAATATCATAGTGTAGTTTGATAAAAATGCCATATCTTAGTATGAAAAACATGTGATAGTATAGTTGGTTAAAAAAAACAATATAGTAGTTTGATTAAAGTATTATATTGTAGTATGAGAAAATGTCATAGTATAGTATGATAAAAATATCATGGTATTGTTTGTTTAAAAATAATAGCTAAGTAGTATATACACAGATACATGAGACTGCGTTTGACTCAGAGACATTCAGAAAAATCAGTTCGACACGTACCCAACACAGACTGAATAAAGCACCACCAACATCTCTCTGTTATTGTTTTATTGTCTCTGTGTGTCCTGTTTGGACCATTTAGACGAATCGGTAACCCTCTATTTTACAGTCAGCTGACCAAAGAGACATGACGGTATAATAACTGTAATGTAATTAATGAGTAATTATAGAGACATAATGATTAAAGTACCAGGAAAAACCTGCAGATAGAAAATGGAGATCTGACACCGGATTAGAGAGGGTTTGGGTTTGATCACAGACTCTGATCTGATCCTGCAGTCTTAACTTCACACAGACCTCACCAACATCTGGAGCCAGACTCTGAGTCTTGGTGCTGAGCCTGAAGACATCAGCAGCCAATCAGAAGCCGGAAATCAGCGAACAGAGATCGAATCCAGCAACAGGAGACTTGGATAAACAAACACCTGCGATCATATTCATTATTCTGCTCGTCTGCACATATACAGCAGTGCAAGTTTACTGAATATTTAATTATAAAGACAATAACCTCGGACCAATGAACGACTCTGCAGACAAGACTGAAAACTTCAACCCGTGTTCATCACTGAA